TGCTGAACCACATGTTTGGGATTGTTTAATTATTGTTTTGATATTTATACTTGTATTAATTTTATGTCTTTATTCATTAAAGTTAAATTTAAATTATTTTAATTTTATGCATTTTTTTATATTTTATCGAAGTAAATGACGAGAATTAAAGAGAAAAAAATAATATGTATAAAAACTAAAATATAATATGTTTAATTATAAGAATTAAAAGATAAATTTGATAAAACTAAAAAAAAGTAATTATAACTAATATTTTTAACTTGTATAATGATTATTTTAAAAAAATTTGTAATAGTTAATATTTTGACTTATTTAATTTATAAGATAAACGCTTATTTATACATTAAAGTTTATAATAATTTTTTAAAAATATATAAACTTTTTTATGAAAACATTTTGAAGAATTATTTTAATTTTTGAAGTTTTTTTTTATTTTGATTTTTTTATAAATTAAATTTAAAAATTTAAAAAAAATTATCAATAATTATAAATAATTTTAGGTTATAATATAAATTATTTATCTTGAATCTTGAATATCATTTATATATATTATAAATATTTATTATACGAACTTTGAACATATTATTTACTATATATATAATTTATTATAAAATTTAATTATATAATTAATAATTCATCATAATTCTTACACTTAAGATAATCTATAACTAGCAGTAGAAACTATTGCTCAAGGTTATCATACAAATAGTTTCTATATATACTAGCAAAAACATACATGTACAAAAAATTACATCAACATTTAAAGTACTAAACAAGTATATATGTATATACAACAATCCAAAGGAAACAACGCTAATATAACCTACGTTGTCAGATAAATAATTACAACAAAAGGTTACAATGAAACAGTCCTCCAACTACACTACCATCTATCAATAAAACTATTCACACACACAACTCCTCAAACATAACCATGTGCTCCCATGTAAATAGGATCATTGTAATCCAACCACCAAAAAATATGTAAGGATAAGCTAAATTTTCAAAAGAATAAAGGTATATCGGTATATATGAAATACAAATATACTATAAAAAAACATGTAAATCATTCAACATTCACCTTATGACTCACATCGTACAACACTCAATATAGCATTTACCATAAAATCACCAAAGCATATGAACAACAAGCACATCATATGCATACAACTCATCTAATGCGACATGACACATTTACTTGTGCAAATCTCCTACAACACCTAAACAATTTAAATGGTTTGACCATACCAAACAAATTGATCATTTGTACACCTTACACGCTAACTAAATTGAGATATCAATCTCTACTAATTGATTTCTTATATGTCTTTGTGACACCTGATCACAGTGACCAATTGAACCATACTAGCATAACATGTTAGATTTATTTAGTTGGTTACATGTGAATTAAAACAGTTAATTTAAGAATTATGATTGTACTATCATTGTTATAAATATTATTCCAAAAATAATGAATAATAATAATAATATTATTATTATTATTATTACAAAGTTAATATGTAGTGTATTAATATAAAATTAAAATAACGTCATCATAGAAGAACGTCATATAAAGATAAACACAAACACATGATTAGTTACGTCATAGATCACCATCATTGTGGAGAGTTTTAAACAAAAAAGAAAAAAAAAACTTTTTGCATACTAACATCAGAAAGATATACACGTATAAAAACAAGTATTTCAATACCTTACTATGAACAACAAAATATAAGAGTACATATGTCAAAGCAATCAAATATCTACAACTATTAACCCCTTTCTACTACTCTAAAGTCGGTTAACTAATGATGCATGTCACTATGATGGGTCTTCCTTCAAATATGATCCTCCTCCTCGTCCTCAGCATTGGAACCATCGTCTTCAACGTCATAATCATCATCAAAGTGTCCATTGGCCAAGTGAGGCCCCAAGTTCGATACATGTGGAGGTGAAGGGACGTGAAATCCATTTTGCTCGTAAAGTTGAACCACTTGAACTACTTGCTCATTATCAAAAGTACTGGGAGATGATGAACCTAGGGATGGAGGTGGTGAGTCAACTCTGACATATTTAGGAGCAGGTGGTAGTATTAGTCCTAGTGGAATGTTCAAGATGGTAGGCTACCTCCTAACTTGAGGGCCTATGGATAGGAATCGAAATGACACCAACCCTTTAAAGGTATCATCCTCAAATAAATCATCATCGGTCCAATAGTCTTGGTTATTGAATTGCAAGGAAAGTCTCCATGTCATAGGAATGTCTCCCATCAATATCAGTTGTTAATCATAAACTTGTCACACATACATAGAAGGAAAAGAAAATAAACAAGTTAGGTGATTTAATTCCTAAGTTACTTTCACAAATAGTTTGTAGGACATACCTAAGTAATGGTTTACAATCAATCAATTAATTAATATTCTATATGCAAAAATTCCTATGATTTAACCAAGTTATCGTAAGATATTTTAGACTCGTATGGATCCATAACTCACTTTATGATTATCACCAAGTATTTTATTTGTTTTGGGAGTGATACCCCCTCATAATGGTACCATTTTTATCATTCTTTTCAACGATTGTACACAAGGTTTATCCTAGGGATATGTGTTTAACCAATATGGGTGATTCTAAACAAGTGTCAAAGTTATTGAATTGATTTATGCAACTATCCCTATTTCAAGGTAGTTAGCCTAATTATTAGGACTCTCACGATCTAATACCATATCATCTAAACCTTTTCAATAATCTTTGCCTTCATCTTGCAGGGCATCAAACGATAACTTCCCAATCTCTCCGAGACACATGCCTCATATACATGATTCACCATTACATGCTCCAGGCTTCTAATCTAATATTTCATTAATTTATAAATATTTTTAAAATTTTTGGCAAAACTTTCCTTGTAATACAATACCTCTCAGATATACCTAACAAAGGCATAGTAGATCAAACATTAAATTTTGAATCGTAACGATATGTATTTCTATGATCATGAATGTATAAAATATTTAGACTTAAATAAATGTTAAATAATGCATATAATTTTATGTTAAAAGTCTTTGTGCTCATTTAATTGATATAATTAATATTACAAGTATTATTTAAGTATACTCATAAAGATAATATTTTTTCTATTACAAGTTACTGCTAATGCTATTCTAGTATAATCATTTTGTACAATCTTTTCCATTCTCATGTATTTGAGACCCTATAAATTTAAATAGATTCGATAGTTTTTCACACACATATATATATATATATAATTTAATATATTAATATCATAATTATTTAGTATATAAAGTCTAGGACGATGAAAGAAAAAAAAATAAACTAGCGTAAATATATTAGTTACAAAATCTAAATTTTAAATTTACTATGGTTATTATAATTATAACTATATATAATTCGTAATCTAAATATTACAAATTCTTAGTTTTTCAACACATTATTATTACATCTAGCAAGATGACTTTTCTAAACAAATATATTCACCCTATATATATTATATTTTTTTATATGTATTTCTAATTCAGTTTTTAGCATTGTGATGATTAAAATCAGGATATATTTATCACAATATAAGACCAAATATGAATGAAATCACCACACTACAATTATATATTTATATTCAAACTAAACTTAAAAAATGAATTTTAGGGGACAAAAAGAAAATTTAAAGGCAATCCGTGCACCGCGTAACTCTTGTCTCGCGTTCGTGAGGGGGGTAATGCTCCAATTCTTAAACTCATATTTATACTGAAAAATGGTAGGTGCCTTGAGTTGTTATAAAAGATGCCAAAATTCATTCACTCTGCTTGTTCTTATATTTTACGTTTTTCTTCGTCATTTTTTTTCTTCTCTTTCTTAACTTTGAAAAGTGACCGTGATTGAATTACATAACGTCTTATGCATTTTATACGTTTTGTTCCTTCTTTTTTTTTCCTATTATTATATTATTTTCCTTATTCCATTTTAAATTGTATTTGTTTTTTTTAAATAGTAGATTTAAGTCTAACTCAATCCTACAAAATTGGTTTGTAAGAGCATCTACAATTGGAGTTGCTTATAAGCAATTCCCATTGTAGATACTCTAAGGTGAGAGTTACTTTTTACTTATATACTATTCAATTGTCTAATTTCTAGTCGATGTAAGACTTGAGTTTTTTCTAATACACCCCCTCACGTCCAACACTGTTGGGCTTGATACGTGGATAAATGGTGGGTGACCCTTTTTAATAATCTAGGATTGACAGGACTTGAGTTTTTTTTTTTCTCAATACACCTCCTCATACTCATGGCGCATGTATCAATAGTGGATGACCCATTTTTAAGAATTTAGGATATGTCTGATACCATCTTAGAATAGTAGATTTAAGCTTAACTCAACTCTACAAAACTAGGTTGTAAGGTAAATGTTGTTTTCTATTTATATACTATTCAATTGTTTAATCTCTAGTTGATGTGAGACTTTGATTTTTTTCCAATAGGTTTCTCCTTAAGCATCATTGGAACAACGAATGAATCTACATGTCTATGTTTTATTGTCATTACTATAACATGATGCATATAACTATTTGCATTCTAATAGATGTAGGAATTTATTTATATTCTTTTTTAATCAATAAGTTTAATTAAAATTTGAAATTTTAATTCACCTAATTATTATTATTTATTTTCTCATGGATTAAAAAGTATTATCTTAGTATCCATCTTAAAATGAATTCAAGGTTAATTAAATAACTTAATTCTAATTTAATCCTAAATAATTCATTAATAATATTTATTTGATTTTAGATAGTAAGTAGGTAATATATTCGAGAGGTCAAAGCCTTCTAAATATTCTATATACGAAAATATAATACGAAATATCTTTCAAAATATGTTTGTTGAAAATATATAACTAGTCAAGAGTAAATTTATCATTGTTATTTTTTAAACTTGGGTTAAAAAAAATAGAACAAATATTAACTAGTATCTACTAAGCACTTTCATGTTTCTTAAAATTTTAAAATTTCTTATTTACCATTCTAAACTTAAATCACACAAAATAAATAAATAACATAACTAAAAGTGAGATGTTATAATTGTCATTTAAACTAAGAAAGTCCAGTACCATTGTCTGGTACAACATAACTTGAGTATGAGATTATCATAATATTGATATGCATTAACCAAGTCTCTTATAGATTGCAACACAACTAATTATCATCGTGATACCATGCACATTTCCAGTAATTAGTTAAGGGTAGTAGCTTTCGATTTCACACTTTACTCCAACATCAACTAAGGATCCAGAGAGGACTTAACAATCCACTCCAAGAGATAACACCTACTCAAAGAAGATTTTTCAACAACTTGACTCAGAGCAACGCACTGATATCCATAAAATGGGGTATCCATCTTTAAAAAAATTATCTCCTCTAATCCTAAGTCAATTAATATGTCTAAATGTCTATAACATTTTCAACATTACACCTTACAATGTATCGACACAACATGCCTAAATGTCTATAGTATTCTCAACATCAATACCTCAACAGGTCAATAAATTATGTTTAAATGCCTAAAACATTATCAGCATCACACCTTAATAAGTCAATAATTCATATTTAAAGAATTCTCAATATCACACATCAACAATTATCATTTATATACATTATTATATGTCAATGGATATAAATCTAACAACATATAATCATCCACATATATTATCCTAAATCAATACATATAGATCAAATATCAACAATCAATATACAACATGCAGTAGATTCATTAATCATATTCATGTTCACCAATCAATCATATAAGCATCAAAATATTAAAGAGCAGCTTGTCCTTAACATTACACATGCGTTGGATGCCATTTAGGGAAATCCATCCAAAGGGTACAAAATTTGTCTTTATGCCTTAGAAATCTATCCACATGTTTGCATTGATGGCTAAATAGTTTAAATTAGTGGAGGAATTTAGAGATTTGAGTCATAGTGTGGATTTTGCTCGAGATCACATTAGCTACAGGGTAACTACCATATCTAATGAATTCTTAAAGCAAGTGAAAATGAAGTAGTTGACTTCAAGTTGGATGGAGATGAGATTTTGAGGTTCAATGAAAAAATTTGTCTACTTTAAGATTTTGAGTTAAGGAGAACTGTGTTAGAAGAGGGTAACAAAAACAAATATAGTATACATCTTAGTATGACTAAGATGTATCAAGATCTGAATAAGACTTTTTGATGGGTTAGTATAAAGAGGGACATGATGGAGTATGTGACAATATGTTTGACTTATCAGAAGATTAAGGTTAGAAATGAGAATATGTTAGACTTAAAGAGAGGTTTATGACCTGACTTCTTTAAAGTCTGGCTTGACTTGATCGGTTTTACAGGTTTAGGCTTTAAAAAACCTATTTATTTAAAAAGGTCAAGCTTAAACTTATTCAAAAACTTGTTAAGTCTAATAAATCAATCTATTTATATATATAATATAATAATTTTTTTTAATATACATATTATTAACAACATAAATAAATAAATAATTGTATTAGTTTTAAATTTGATTATATAAGATAATTATATATTTTTAACTTACTAAATTTTATTATAATTAAACCAATAATTTAAATAAATATTATTTTAATTATTTTAATTTTTTAAAATAATAATTGATCATTGAAAATATGTCGAATGAGATAATTGAAATAATTATTTTTAATAATTTTTTTTTCATCGTATGTAAGTGTAAATGATTTATTGTGATTCCTAATCAAGGTGGAGCATCAAAAAGCCGAGAGCGATTTGCTTCACATGATAAAGATAAACTAATATGTAATTAATAAAATATAAAAAAATTAATCTGAAAAGAGAGAATTAACTAAGTTACTGTTAAACATTAAATTTATATCCTTGGTCAAGATCCAACGAGTCTATTGCGTTTTTGGTCTTGCTTGGGCTCTTATTGGGCCCAACCCATTTACATTTTACACGAAGTCTGTTACAAGAAACCCTAGAATAGTGTTAAAAGAAAAAACCCTAGACACAGCGCCACTTATATATACTACTACTCTATCCTCAGCTTCTCCTCAACCCACCTTAGAGAAAATGGCGGTGCCTCTCCTTTCGAAGAAGGTCGTCAAGAAGAGGGTCAAGAAGTTCAAGAGGCCTCAGAGCGACCGTAAGATTTCTGTTAAGGTATACATTCTCGCCTTTTCATGCTGCTTGTTTTATATACACATTTTTTTTTTTCAATTTGATTTAATTTGAAAAAAAGTTAAGATGTGTATTTGGATGAGTTATGATGCGATGTTACCCTTGGTTAAGATGTGTTGAAGTGCATGAAATTGAGTTTATGTTTTGCCTTTTGGATTAAATTAACTGTTAGCATGTGTGTCGTTGTGTTGGTGTGGTCCTTGTGAAGGACGTGATGATAGAAATTGTCGCCCCAGTCTTAAGTTGCACCAAAAGGTGTAAGGTGGTGATTGACGTTTTATCTGATCCTGCTATTTGCTACTTAATTGTCAGCTTTATTCTCTTAAGCATTAAATGGATTTGAATTTGATACTCTTTGCTTTTTGATTTTATTTTTGATTTTTTTCCATTGAATTTTTGGAGCGATGGGATATGAGGACAATGTTTTGACACCCAGTCTTACCATATTTTTTTTATACATGGTGAGAGATCGACTATCTGATTCCATATATCTTAATAAGAATTATAGTCTGTATTGTACAATTGGTGGTATTCTGTTTTCTCCCTTTTGATGTTTGATTTTTTTTTCTTCTGTTTGCTATATTTTTTTTTAAAATTTAGAAATGGGACTTGATGACAACTTTATGACACCCAGTCTTACGTGCTCATTTGGGGTACCCTGGTGATAGATTATTTGTCTGATCCCTCGTCTTGTTTTTCCTTCTTTACTTAAGGTTGTACACTGATAATCTTATCATTCCTGTTTTTTATAACATGGGAGAAAAATTATTTATTTGAATAAATTTCCTTTTAAATGAACTATTTTCATATTTTGAAGTGTAGTTGCAAAGAGATATGAGGATACTTATCCATCAATTCTGCAATAGAATGATGATTACAAACATGCACTACCATCTGATCTCTTGTTTTAATTAGTGTTTATTATCTTATTTGTAATTATTTGCCCATTGTATCTGATGTCCAGAGTCTAGACTTTTGTCTTGCTGTAGCTGGACATTTCGTTTGAAGGGCATATATAGAATTTTTACAGGTCTTGCGACACAGCTGGCTTTCTTAATTATAAGCCTTCTGTTACTATTTTCCTGTTTACATTTTGAATACGCTCGTACTATCTTTTAATTAACGTTTCTTTGTCGCATAATTAAGAACCTTTTTATTATTTTATATATTTAATTTAAATAACTATTGACTTTAGTGTCATTGTTTTTTGCTTCATCAGAATTTTTAGATCAGCAATCAATGATGATAGTTTCTAATATGCTGAGTGTCTGTGATTATTATTATAAACATCACCATCTTTCGGCTGAGATTGCTGATCAAGTTATGTTTTGTGAAGTTTTTATCCTAGTGAGTTTAAACTGAGTTCTTCTTCCCATGGTATCTGATGCCCTATTTTATTTTCTGGAAGTAATTTTACTACCGTTTTGTAATGAAGAAGCTACTTTCTTTTTAAAATGAACGTGAAATTTAAAGGTGACTGTTTTTGCCCATTTCAATTTTGCGTTCATACTTGAGGAGTGGATTTTTTTTTCTGATATTTGTTAGTTCTTAATTTGCCTTGTATGTTGATAGTAGAATAGGTTGCAACTGATTTTTTTTTAATCTGACGAATATTTGTTATTAATATATTGTTAACAGCCAAGCTGGCGAAGACCAAAGGGTATTGACTCCCGTGTCAGGAGAAAGTTCAAAGGATGCACTTTGATGCCAAACATTGGTTATGCATCAGACAAGAAAACTCGTCACTATCTTCCTAATGGCTTCAAGAAATTTGTTGTTCATAACGTGAAGGACTTGGAACTACTCATGATGCACAACAGGTGAACTATTTCCTTCCAAATTGGTTTTGATTTTTTACTACTTTGCCTGTAATGTTTACTCACCAGTTTTTGACATTATTTTAGGACATACTGTGCTGAGATTGCCCACAATGTGTCCACAAGAAAAAGGAAGGAAATAGTTGAGAGAGCTGCGCAGCTTGATGTTGTTGTGACAAACAAGACAGCCAGATTACGTAGCCAGGAGGATGAATAGTCTGAATGTCTGTGGAAGTCACTTATATTTTGTAGCTTTCGTTGGGATACATGTATTTTTGCATTGAGTTTTTTTATATATGCTGCTATAAATTGTAGTATGACATACAATTAACATGATTTTCTCGTCTTTCTAAATCAATTACTTCTCGTTTGAATTTTGGAATACGTTAACCATTCAGACGGTGTCACTTAAATGATGATATATTTACCTTCTATAATGTGTGTAAGGTGTGATGAGAATAATTTTAAAAATTTGATTGTAGGATGAATGTCATTTTTCGGTTCATTTTTAATGAAAATCGTGTGAAATAATTATAGTTTATATTTGAACTATCATACAATCGTATTTTAAATCAGATCAACTTATTAGACATTTTGCCTATTAACAATTGACAAAATACCTTGCCGACACAGTTTGATTTTGATCTTCCTCCCTCAATTTGTATCTTTCCCTTGAGAAACATCTCCGACATCGTTTGTATGATTATGACTTGACACATTCGAACACATGAACTTAAAATATGCATATCCAAATTCTTACTATTAGATACAGTGGCGGACCTTCATTACGACGGCTCTCCCAAATTTTTCTAAATTTTCATATATATATATATATAAAAGCTTACTTATTTTTTAGTTAAAATCACTCATTTATTTTAATTTGGTTCATTTGTACAAAAGATATTATAATAATTTAATTTAATATTAAATAAAAATAAAATATTTTTTCTCTCTTAATAACTTTATTCTCTAAATCGTTTATATTTTTTTATTTGTTTAGGGAGTGAAGACATCATAAGAGATGAGAGAGAAATGAGTTAAAGAAAAAATTTAATAGAAGAAAGATAAATAAGTTAGAGAAAAAATTTAATAAAAAAAAGAAGTGAGTAATTAATTTTTTATTTGTTTATAGAGGGGAGACATCATGAGAGATGAGATGAGAGAAAAATGAATTAAAGAAAGAATTTAATAGGAGAGAGATAAATAAGTTAGAGAAAAAATTTAATAAAAAAGAGAAGTGGGTTGGAGAAAAAATTCAATAAAAAATAGAAACGACTTAGAGAATGAAGTTAATAAGAGATAAAAAATATTTTATTTTTATTTAAAATTAAATTAAATTACTATAATATCCTTTATATAAATTAACCAAATCAAAATGCACCACTTTCAAGAGACTCTATGTGAGCTCTTCCAGTTTGAAAATATTTCCCTCTCTGTAAGTCTTAGGCTAGACACATGCTATAAGGCATCACATGCAATAATGCATCATACATCATACATGGCCAATCTACCATCATGATCAATATCATCCTCATATGAACATACACACATGTCATATCATGTTTAAACATTCATACATATTACTACCAAGCATACATATGAATCATACATCATCATACATCATATATCGTACATACATGATCCAATCTTCAACGTTAAACATGCATAAGCATCATTTCAAATCAATAATCAATAAACGTGTTCACGCCCGGTGTAGCCACCTCACGCTCGACCTAAATCCAACCCGAGAGCTCTAAGCTCTTCCACGCCTGACGCATTCAGTTTGTGCCCGATGTCATTCAACCAGAGACTCACAAGAATCTCCACGCCTGGCACGCTCACTCTATGCCCGGCGTTATCTACACAGAGACCTATAGAGGTCTCCATGCCCGATGCACTCACCCTACGCTCGACGCCATATCAGAAAAGCACCATTCAAGCTACTATATGATATTATGCCCGTCGTGGCTTTCCTCACGCCCAGCGTGAACTCATCTAGAGAATCCCATTCATAATTGCGCTCAATGCAACTAACCTCACGCCTGGCATAATCAAGATATGGTTGCCTTTGATGAATGCACACCCGACGCCAAGAACATGCGTCCGGCGCAAATTCAAATAGTAGCCCCCAAAACCCAGAAATTTTTCCTCAACCTGAAAACTAGAAGATTTCAACCACATGTGTAGTGATAGACTATGGCCAAGGCCAAAGAATCTAAGAGGTGATACATTGAAGGAACCAAGATGAATGTGATGATGGACCATGGGCCAAGGGCCCAATCGCTAGAGCTATGGCCACCTTGAAGACCAGTGGACACCTTGAATTTTTATTTAATAAAATAATTAATTTATAATTTTATATATAAAAATAATAATTTGATAACTCCAAACTTTTAATCCAAGTTCCGCGATTTAGACTCACCATACCATGTGAAGTTTTACTAAAGAAATTATTAAATTTGGAAATTTCTGAGTCGCAAACAAGGTCTACGGAGATCATATAATCGGTAACGTGAAAAATTCCCAAGAGTTAGTCTAAATCTCTGGTAGAGCACACAACTGTTTTCTATCGGAGAACTAGGTGTATACAGAAGCAAACACAAACTAGTAAAATACACAGGTCTATAGCAGCAGATAGAGCTTACGAGATCATATAATGCGCCTTCAGGGGGAAAAAATAGAACCGCATCAATCAAGCTACTCGGTTGGGGCTGGCAAAGATTCATCATTAAACGTCTTAATCATTTTAGAAGTGTTTCTAATTTAGGATTAAAAAAAAGGAAAATTTGTTCAGAACATCAGATTTCCGGTGCCATGCTTTACTGATCCATTAAAAACAAATTTGTTCATCTGTTTCTAGGATAATCATCTTACTTGCGCCTCTATCATGTTTAAACTAACCAACAATTCAATTGTTTCACGTGCAAAGACAAGAAAAATAGACTAATTGATAACCAGAGTATTACTCACCATGCAGTAAATCGTCATCAGGAAGAAAATCAGAACTGAAAAGTCATCAACCGAGCAGAATGCAAACAAAAATGATGACGAAGGTATCTTGAACTATTTTTCTATTACACGGCTGTGTCTCCAATGTAAAATCAGTTCTTTGAAACAATTTTGCCTGAATAAAAGAAGATTTATAACAACTCTTGCTCGATACATAAGAACAATATCTGTATCTGCAGAAACACAAACTAGTGTGTACCAAATTAGAGATGCCACACATTACAAAAGGCACATTCGTAGTAATTTGTAATCTCAATAAAAGAGACATTTCAGGGGACGTTGACAATGTGCAACGAAAGAAACATACATACAACCCCATAGTTCATCTAAACTGCCTAAAAATGAAATCCATCCTCAAGGTAAAAGAATGAATTCAAAGTAGTGTCATTAGTGGATGGCATAGTGGTCTGCCACGAAGCTGGCTATTTCTAGCAGTCAAAAAGATCAGTTCAAATTGGGGTGAATAAAAATAGGGCTATACAGAGCTTGTAGGATTGCGGTCAGAAAGTTAGGTTAGAAGTTTATCAGGGCAACGATTTGTGTTTAAAGAGAAATGTGTGCATTCATTGCATATATTTTAGCATTTCAATATAACTTGGAAAATTAAAGCATCTCCAATGGAAGATGCATGATGAGATACTTCAATGAAGTTCCGGTTGCTCGAAAGAACCCTCCCATTGGAACAAATCCCATATGGCAATGAAAGTTGTGTAAATTTCTTTTTAGTTGTGTAAGCAACTGTTCCTTACCATCAAAATACAATATTTTGGATCTTGGAGGCCACCAAATAACTATAACATAATTAAGTCAAAATTAAGAAAATATAAAATTATGAGTTATTGTAAGCTCCTTAGAATTACTTTCATTGGAATAAAATTGGGTATGAGTTGCTTAGCAATGACATGCCACAATAAGGACCATTAATCACACCTTTACATGTACTATGCAACTCGTGCGAGTTACTTCCTCTGGAGTTGTCCTAAATTGCAAAGTCACTACCCAAACTAAACGTCAAATAGAATTTTAAGGGGCCTCAACAAAAACCCTTCTTAATTTTCAATATGGTGCGATCATTTTGGGAACAAATATTCTAATGAGAAAAGGGAAGTAAAGAATAGCAACTTGAGTAAATTGAAAAGAGGAAAGAAAGGGATTCTATAGTATGTATACAAAATCATGACAATCAGCATAAATCATCAATCCAATAAAAGAACAAGCAAGTACAACAATAATCTCATATTTCACCCCATGGTATGGATCTGAAACTGAGTCGAAAAGCAAGGCCCGATTGTACCATGTATTGTGAATAAGCATCAAAATCAGGAGTGCCAACCTGATCAACATGTATTAACTCCATCCTTGCAATCTTTAGTCAAATTATAGAAAGTTTCCACTCGTGTCTTTCCACGGTAAAAGACCTCTGTATCCACTGCCACTCTCATGTACCCGTCAAACTCAACAGGCTTTCCATTGTTGAGAGAACTCGTCTCGTTGTACCACTCACTCATATTTCCCCACAACTCCTTATAATCATCAAGCAAATGGACCTTGTAATTTGACCTCAACTTATCAAAGTAATTGTAATAAGGCTCATTGGTGGCAATATACAAATGCCTCCAAGGCTGAACCATCCCTTTAAGCTTCTCAAGAAGAACATCCGGTGATGTATCATAATCCAAATGAGGCCACAGCTCCTTGTTCTGAGCTTTCTCTCCTCGAACCACATGGAGAGTATCAAAATCCCAGTCCAACCTTCCACTGATCTCAGTAACAATATTCATCAACCTCTTGGATTTCCACAAAGCATGCCAAGGCCTCTGAATATACTTAGCAGCCTCACCTTCACAAACCCTATACCAATAATTCTCAGGCTCAGGGGCATCAAACTGCCTCCAAATGATCGTACTCTTATCTTTCTTAAGCTGCATAGGAGTCACCTTGTGAGTGACAACCTTCCTAACAGGAACCTTCTTCTTCTTCAAATGAGTCTTATCCCACTTCTTCCAGTCTCTCAAGAACTCACCCTCCTCCACAATGGAAGCCGACTCCTTCAAATGCTCGAAATCGAAATAGTACCTAAAATCCTTCCCTTCCTCGTCCTTATTACTAGGGTTATAAGTTGCAGCCAAACAAACACTCAAATCCATAACAAAAGTTCTATTCAAAAACATAGCTTCACCCAACCCACACAAGAAACTCCACATATAATGATTCATCCCCTTGCAATAATCCCCACCACGCGAGTAATACAAATACTTCCCATTCCTAAAGTTACTCTCCGATCCCAAAGTGGGAATCGTGTCATTGATCTCATCATCCCGGGTCGAAACCCGCGGAGGCGCCGTCTTACCCCTGCCGGCGCCGGTCCGCGTCACGTTGCGGCGCGCGTTGACGCCGGAGTGCCACCCGCCGGCGTGGACCACCTTGTAGCGGCAATCGTCGGTGATGCCGATCTTGAAGCGGCGAAAGTCACGGTACTTGCGCCACGACCGCTCGCGCTTGTTCCGGAAGCGCCACGCGATGTCGCACTCGCCGGCGGCGGGGCCCTTCACCGGCGGCTGGTAGTCGAAGAAAGCGATGGACTTGAACGCGCGGAGGTTAAATCTCTGAACCGCAATGAGCATGCGAGGGTCGGAGCAGTTTAGGGTTCCATCGCAACTAGGGGGAGAGGGAAGCGGCGCGGTGGAATCGGCGGTGGAATTGGCAGTGGAATTGGCGAGTTTTTGTTCGATTTTTTCAATGACGGCTTCGGTGACGGCGACGGCGGCGGGGGGCGGAGGAGGGAGGGGAGGGTCCTGCGGCGTGGGGGCGAGGTCCTCGCCGGTTTTGAGGACGGAGGAGTCGATGCGAAAGGTGGCGTTTTGGGATTGGGTGAAGAGGTTGGTTAGGGCTGGGGTGGATTGGAGCCATGGGTCGGGGGGTTGGTAGGTTATGGCGATGACGGTGAAGATTAGGACGGAGAAGACGAAGAAAGAGAAGCAGAGGTTGCTTATGAGTTTTATGATGTTTTGGCCAATGGGTTCGGTTCTGCTATTGTTACTGCTATTGCTATTGCTAGTGTTTGAGTCCTTCATTGTGTTTGGATCTGAAGTGAATGTGGTGCGGTGGGGGTTACAGAATGAGGTTAGTGGTGAAGTGGTGATGGTGACGGTGGATCTGAATCTGATACCCTCTCATTATTACTTGCTTCACTTCCTTCCATTCACTGCTTTCAAACTCCATTTCCTGCTTTTCCTTCACTCACACGCATGTCACTTCTAGTTTTTACTTTTACATGCTTTCTAAACATAAAAAATAATAATAATAATAATAATAATAAAATGTTATGCATATAAACAAGAAAAAAAAAACATAAAATACATGTTTGTTATTCTCAAATATGAAAAATATTGTCCACTTTAAAAATATGTTAGGTTTTTAACGCAAAATCAAACACACGTCAAATAGTTACAACTTGCTTAAATTATTTTCGGTTCAAGTATTTACAATAATAAGTTGTGATATCTATCTATATTATAATAGTACAAGTAAAATTATATTTTTTATTTTAATTAAATTATTAATATATTCTAAAATATTATATTTTTTATATTTTAACTTTATATATTAAATATTGATGATTATTTTTTTTATATTATATATTGTTCTTTGTATATATATAATAATTGTTATTAATTTATTCTTTTAAGAAATTATTCACACTAATTTGGGTCTTGGATGAAGTAGTGGTAATTAGGGATGGTAACGAAGTCCTGAACAAGTAGTAGGGTACCCATCCCTTCCTGCTATATAAAAATCAATTTAGTATCTATTTAATGTTCATGTGGGTATCCATTAAGAGAGTACCTATAAATTTTATAAATACTTGTAAATATTTGTGAATATTTATGATTTTTTTAAAATTAAAAAAAAAGTATTACAAATAACTTTAAGTTTGTATTTAAATTTTGTAAAGGACGTGTATTCTAATTAATTAGGAGAAAGAAAAGTATTAATTAGGAGATAAAAATATTATAGAACATGCACTTTAATTGGTTAAAAAAATGAGTATTAATTAAGAGAAAAAAAGTAGTATAGGGATAGTTTTAAAAAGAAAAAAAAAAAAAAAAAAGACAAATTTATTATTATCAATATGTTTAGCTTCAAGAACTTTTGTACTCGCAACTCAGCCACTAAAGAATTAACAACATAATACAAATTTAGTGATCTTAGACTACCCCAATCACGTGTATGTGACATAAACATATTACAAGCTTCTCTTACCTCTTGTAAGATCAAAATGAGCATGAGAAAAAAGGGAGAAGAGAGACATTTCACATAGTTCCACATGGTTTTGAGCCCAACTAACAACTCAACTATTTTGGTTAGCTATACAAAAGAAAAAAAAGGAAGAGAAGAAGGTCTTATCCAAGAAACAAAGGAAAAGAAAAGAGAAAGAAATTCCTCTTGCACTAGCTCTCACTCTCCTACTAAACTTGAGTGATACATAAATAATTGAAAAAATATCATATATATATATATATATATATATATTTAATTTAAATTATAATATAATTTGTATAAAAAATTATATATTTATTATAAATTTTAATTATATAAATACAAACATTTATTCTATATGCACTATTAAAATACAATTTTCAACTTAATAAATAATAATGAACATAGATTGTATTTTAAAATAAAATAACTTAAATTATATGAACAAAGCAACAAGTTAAATGAAAATATGATTTTAAAATTAAAAAATATATTCAAATAAATTTGTTTGAGGAGTGATTTACTGACATTTCATTACGGTAGAATTATATATAGAAATTAAAGAAAAATACATTTTTTTTAATTTTTTCTTAAAAAAATAGTCAAAATAATATAATTAAAGAGAATTAACTAAAGTATGTAATTAAGAAAAAAAAAACGAATTTGGTCTTGAAAAAAGAGAGTTAACTAAAGTACCTTGGTCAAGATCCAAGAGTCCTTTGCATGTTAAGTGGGCTAAGTTTTGCTTGGATGGGCCCAACCCATTTACCACTTAACCCCCATCCAAAGAAACCCTACAATAGACGCACTCTGTTACAAGGTAAAAACCTAGACGCAACACCGCTTATATATACGCCTCGGTTCTCCGCTTTGGAGAAAGTGGCGTGGCGGTGCCTCTTTTTTCAAACAAGATCTATAAGTTCAAGAGGCCTCAGAGCCATTTATTGTGTTTTTAAACCTTGTTACGCTGTGTTCAAGTGCATGAAATTGACTTTATTTTTTGCCTTTTGGATTAAAATTTAACTGTTAGTATGTGTTTCGTTGTATTGGCGTTGTCTCTGTGAAGGAAGTGATGATAGAAATTGTCGCCCCAGTCTTAAGTTGCACCAAACGGTGTAAGGTGGTGATTGACGTTTTATCTGATTCTGCTATTGTCGTTTTCATAGTCTTGAAATCAGTTTGAATTACCTTGTCTTTGTTTTATTTATTTTTTTAATAAATATTCTTGATGTTTCAATTGAAATTTTGGAGCAATGGGATCAGTATAAAGTTATTTCATTCCTCCAAGGGATTTTATTAATCTGAATCAATTTTCACTTAAACTAACTATTTTTCATATTTTCAAAGAGATATGAGGATACTTATCCATCAATTCTGCAATAGAATGATGATTACAAACATGCACTACCATCTGATCTCTTGTTTTAATTAGTGTTTATTATCTTATTTGTAATTATTTGCCCATGGTATCTGATTTCCAGAGTCTAGCTAGACTTTTTTGTCTTGCTGTAGCTGGACATTTCGTTTGAAGGGCATATATAGAATTTTTACAGGTCTTGCGACACAGCTGGCTCTCTTAAATTATAAGCCTTCTGTTACTATTTTCCTGTTTACATCTTGAATTTTCATCTTCAAACCTTTTTTAATTTAATAATTTTTTATTGTAATTTATTTATCTTTTATTATTAATTTGTGCAGGACTATATAGTTTAATGAATTGGCGAATGATGAACTTTTCTGGTTTAAAATCTTAAAATAAAAATCAAATCTGTTTTGGAAGCCTTATGGTGTTCTAAGATGAATTAGAAGCCGGTTTGGACAAATGACATTTTTTTTGGGCGGGCTTTTGAACCGAACCGTACCGGGTTCATTAAAACCGGACCGGGCCCATTAAAAACCGGACCGGACCAGTAAACCGAATTGAGGGGCACAAAAAACTGGACCGGGACATTTAAAAACCGAACTGGATCGGGTTCATTTTAAAACTGGGACGGAGTAGGTTCACTAAAACCAGACCGGGTCCAATAAAAAGTCAGACCGGTCCGGGTTCACCAAAAACCGAATCGGTTCAATGGAAACCGACCCGGTTCACTAAAAACAGTTCAGTTCAGATGACCGGTTTTTAAAGAACCGAACTGGCTTACAAAATTAGTCTGGTGCGTGATTGCAATGTTCAAAACGTTTAGGAAACAAACTGGTTTCCCAAAGATCCAGCATCCTTAAATGAGTTTGATGAGTATCTGATTGCAATGTTTTCATGTTTTTTGTTGATCCAATCTTTTAAAAGCCAATGTGGTTGTTTTCAAAACAAACCGGTTTTTTAGAAAACCGAACTGGTATTTAGAGGCCAAACTAGTTTACAAAAAACACCAGAAATGGTAATATCTCATTTGAAGAGCGTTAACAAAATTATTAAACAATTTTAGTTCGAATTTTAAAGACATCTTTTTAACTTGAATTTTAAATTAACTAATAAAAAGGGTAAATCAAAGTGTAATAACTTTATTTTTGTGGAGTGTGTATAATCTCTGTATACAAATAGCTAGACAAGGACTACGGAAAACACAGGTCAGAATTCAGCGAAATGCATGGTCGTAGTCATGACAACGGAAGTTTTTGTATATGAAGTGAGCTAACCACCGAGACAGAGCAAATGATAGTATTGCTAACGCAAACATTGAATTTCTTGTTGCCACTGACATTGTTCCCTGCTTCATGGTGGCGACAATCCCAATTGAAGCGACAGATATGACCTGCAGCATTACTTCAACCACATTGAGGCTCTTGTAAGCAGAATTGCAACTCTTGCAATTCACCACATGGGACCAGTACCTGTTCAAATTAATTAAGCTGTCAACTTGGAAAATCAATTTCTTCCCACATTTCAAGTGACCAAAAGGTGTACACAAGTCGCCACTTCCAAGGGGCCAAAACGTATTCTAAGTTCTAACCTTTTATAAACTTCACTTGTTGAATGAAATGGAGTCTATTTGAAATGTAACTAAATTGAAACTAGCATTTTCAAGTGCAATCTTGTGTGTACCTGTCCATAAGCTGTTCTCTTGGAGGTGTTGGAGGAAGAGTCCCACTATATTTTCCTCTCCAATCAACTTGACCACCCGCATACTTCTTTAACCACTTTCTATAACCAATTACAAGGGCATCTGACTTTGTTGGAACAAAACAAGCTTTTTGCCAATTCTTTGGACCAATATCCATTATTTTATGTTCCTATCAAAAGAATTTAATAACCAACTATGAGTATTCAAATTAATTTTTGTTAAGGGAATATTCCCTTTTTTATCTAGACACCAAAATTGAAGAAAATAAACATACCAGAAAAGTACAAATGAAAGTGCGCATAACAAAATCCATGTAGCAAAAATGAGAATTTTGCGTTGGATGAGTCGACATACTAGACAAGAAAGGATTAGAAATGTTTTGGTGAAAGTGTTGGGTAGCAAAAAGAAACGTATTATTGATCATAAAAAAGATGATACAATCTTGTCTTTAGATAGTTTTGGCATGTATGGAGAAGACCCAGAAGCCCAATAAGGAGAGTAGATCAGATGGAGGGTAGCCTAATAGCAATAGTTGTGGAAAACCAAGAAAAACTATTAGCAAAGTAATCAAGAAGGATTCGGATAGACGTTATCAGTTTGTGCATAATTTACAAAAACATTATAGCATCATTTGATTCATGTAGCTAGTACCACCTAGTGGGAAAAGTTGTTGTTGACTTGGTGCCGCTGATCTTTATGATAGCTTTGTAATACTTAGAACAGGGAAAATAGACTGATGGAACCAATTTGTCGACAAGATAAATAATTAATAAATTTATAACAAGAATTACCTCAACATGGAGAAGATATAAGTCTGAATCCAGAATCAGGTTTTGTCCCATATGAAATATCCATCGTGGTACAATTTTGTCAATCCACAATCCAAAGTTTCTTGGGAAGCACCATATCAATCTGCTTTTACCAGGACTAACAGGAACACAAACAAAGATTAAAGCAAACTTCTTCTGAGCTGATGGTTTCTGCATTAAGTTTAACACACATTATGCAATACCCTTAAAAAAATTGTCTGCATTTTGTTTCTTATCTAAAGATAATATCTAGTTATCTACTCAACATGTTACCTGAGTTTCAGCAGATGAGGCAGGTTGATCTCGATCAGTATATGCATAAAAAATGCAAGGTGGCATAAATTTGCTTAAGCTCCAACCTTGATCTGCTGTAAAACCATTGATATCTAACTTTTCAACAAACAATTCAAGTGGCCTGCCCCCTTCTCTATCAACTTTCACTGTTATTAAGCTCTACATATGTAAGTGTCATATATAAAGTGAATTTAAATTTACTGAAGATAAAAAACATATATCTTATGTGCTTACCTTTTGGCTTCTGAGTACGCATTAGTCCATAGTGTGCATATGGAACATGTGCAGGGTCCATAAGATTTTCTATCAGTACTTCATACCTGAAATTGCATATTTATTTTGTTAAAAAGATACACAGTGGGAAATATGGTTTTTGTCCCCTAGCATGGAAATTACTACTTTCATGTCAAAAAAGGGAGAAAAAAATGTTGTATATGCATAATATAATGCTTGTGTTTTCACCTTCGAGAATCAGCTAAAATAATTATACCAATTACGTAAAAGAAAATAAATCACGTTAGAGGTGCTTCGGGTAAAAGAAAGTGAGACACAAACGGATGTGTAGTTCTAAAACATAGGAATTAGAAGAGATCATAAAAGTTAAAATCATACCCATAAGGAATGTCTCTGTTTCCCATTGATTTAGTATACGATGGATCATCTAATTGTGGAATGAATGGGGGTCTTTTTCTTGTAATAATATCTTTGTATTGAGGATCAGTATTTGGCCAGAACCACAAGATATCATTTTGCACAGTACTTGGATAAGCAGCTACACATGCTTTTTTGGACGTATGAATCTGCACATTTTTTTTCCAGCAAAATTTAATGAGCATCAGATTCTCCCTTTAGTATGAATATTAAGCTAACAATGGAAAAATCAATCTACTGCTACCCTTCTATATTGATTGCTCATGGGATTACAAGTTGAAGAAACTTGGAAGCATTTAACAATTTCCAAAAGAAAAATGGTTAAAGGAAACTCCAACTTTGGGTCATGTGGCTTACCTCGAGTTTCAAAAAGGGTCACAACCTGCTCATAAGACCCTATTCAACCAACATACATTTATCTGGATAATGGATAAAGTGCAGAAAAAAAAATCAAATTTTGAGTAGTGTGATTTACCGGAGTTTGTTTTATAAGGGTTAAAAATTTCAGGTGTAGGAGTCATGTATTAACTAACCACGAACACTTTTTGCTTTTCTAAAACACTAGAAGTTTTGTATAGTGTCAATAGTTCACATTTTTGTATTCTGAAGTTGTCTATGTTATATAAATTGAATATGAATTTTAAAAAGCACAAGCCAACTTCTGTTCATTGTAAGTGGATAAGTCCACTTTTGTAAGAGCAAATTGTCACACACCAAGTAAAGAATAAGCAAAACTTTTAAACTTGAGGTGTAACTCATACATTTCCAATTTTGAGGGTCATAACTCATAAAAACAAAGTGCAAACCTACAGAAACAGAACATCAGATTAACAAAAAGAGGAAGAAGATGTGGCCATGAGTGACATGTCTTGTGGCCAAGGGTAGATTGAAGCAATAGTGAGATCTACAACCAATGAACTTACAAAGAATGTGCACCACCAGACCACTCACAAACCATGCTCACGTTCCATGCATCGACATGATATGATCTCAACTTCAATATTAAACCTATTTTGAACAAACTTAAAAGAGTTTTTGAAAGTTTCTTTTCTGAAAATAAAGAGTTTTTGTTTTATTTTATTTTATTTTTAATTTTTTTAAAAGTTGTATCCATACAGACTCATTGTATGTTTCAAAACATGAAATTATGACAAGCTAAAATTAATGGCAAGGAAATGAGTAAATGGTTCTTGCATATTGGAACCTTTTGATTACAGGAATGGCTGAACAAAAAAAGTGTTCTGGCAACTCACTACACAGGAAATGTAACACAAGAAATATTGAATTTGGAAGCCATATTACAGCAATACACATCAACTACAAGTTATGATCAAGAAGACTTACCGGAGGACCATCAGGGGGTGCCTGAGGAATCAATTTGCATTCTCCTTTGCCATCAAAACACCAACCATGGTACACACACTGCAACCTGCCCCATTGATCAATCCTTCCATCAGACAAGGGTGCCAATCTATGAGGACAAGCATCATCATGAACCTGCCAAGCACCCTCATTCCTATCCCACCACACAACCACATCAATGCCTAATACCCTCTTCCCGTGTGGTTTCCTTTTGTCAAGGTCACAAATTGGCATCAAAGGGTACCATTGAGAGTACCAGTCAAATTTCTCTGCTTGCCCTTCAAACTCTGGCTCAGCCTCAGGTGTGTTGCTGGGTTCTGCCAATGGAGGGGGTGACAAGGCAGTGGAAAGCTTGGATTTTGAAGTGCCCCTGTGAACAAGTGAAATTGGTGAGTTCAGTTGGGGGCTCAAGAACATGGATTTCCTAAGTGGGGTTGGTATTTCATGTGAATGCTTGGGGATGTGAAGTGTAGCAACAGAAAAGGCACACACAGCTTCCATGTTCCTTTCTGCAAACCAAAGGTACAGGAAGAGAGGAAACACAAGGGACACCACAAAGCTAAATACTTCAACTCAAAACTAGAGGCTCATATTTTGTGTTCATTTTCACCATGTGTTGCCAGTTGTCACCATCAACGAACGTTGGGTTTGTTTAACGTCAATGAACTTTGTTATAAGCACCTTATCACTTCGGGGGAGTTTCATGAATTATCACAAGGCCACGTGGGTGATTAAGAGCTTGGAGCTCTATGCATGGACAAGAACAAACTAAGGATTAGAATCAATATGGTCAAAAGTTAAAACTTATAAATCAATTGTATATATAGCTCTGATTCAATTCTGTGGTAGTTATATTTAATAATTACTTAAAAGTCAATAGTTTTTTCTTTCAATCGATAAACATGATTTATAGTATTAAAACATATATTTTTATAAAAATGTGGATAAACAATTCATTAGTAAACTCATAAGGTAATCACCGATTAATACACATAAAAATAGTTCTATATTTCTAATAATTAAAACTAAAATAACGGATTCATTTATATATATATAAAAGAAATTTTATTTTATGTAATTTAAAAAATAGTCCGTTTTAGTTGTTTTGACCAAACAAACAAACATTGTTAACAGGTGTTAATTTAACTTAGATTCAATAGGCCAATACCTTTTTGTAATTTTATTTTTTTAAGGTATATTAAATTTTAATTAAGGATAATTATAATAATTTTATATTTAAAAGTTTATTTAGCAAAATAATTACATTTAAATTTTATTTATCTCTTTAACATTTTCTATACAATATTTTATACATTTTTTCCAGATTTAGTCATTAGGTCATCTACCTTAATTTTTTTTTTTAATTTAGTCATTTTAGTTAAAAATCCATTTATAATCTATTGAATTTCACAAAATATTTTTAACATACACATACTTATACAATTATATTAAATTATTATTCCGTGACTTCATTTATATGTATCGGGGGCATTTTTGTGAAATTTCATGAATTACTAACAGATGTCTAATTTTAACGACTAAACTATAAAGACATAAAAAAATGAAGTATTTAGTTACAATCTTTTTTTAGTTTAAATACATAATTAAAAGATTCTAAAAAAATTTATGGACCAAATGATGTATTAATTTTTTTATAATATTTATTGTAGAGATAATTTTTCTTCTTTTAAACAAATATTTTAATTAATTTTTTTAGTCTTTATTTTTGGAAATAATTATGTATCCTTTTCTACTTAGATAAAATATTTTAGTATCTTATTTTTTTATTGTCTTTTCCTTTTATAGTCGTTATTGTTATTTTAAAGGTTGTGTATAATTTCATTTACAATAAAAAAATATTTTTTATACTTTATATAGATCTCATCATAATTATTTAGGAATTAAAAATTATTTATTATTAATATTTATAAATGAAACAAACTTATAAACATTGACATACAACTTATTTGTATCTCAATTGTTTTTCTATCAGTATTTTTTCATGTATGGTTTTTTTTTCTTTTGTATTTATTATTCTAATAATTATTTTCAAGTTCCGTTGTGCTTCTAAAACTTGAGAAAAACAAATAAAATACTATTGAATTGTACCAAAATTTGTTGAAAATTGTTCTCACAACAAATTAAATATTCCCAAAGTAAGGGGTTCTTTCTTTGATTTATACGTGCAAAACTATTTATTTATTATAAATTCAATTATTACCTTATATAATTATAAGATTTAATTATTTAATTCATTAAGAATAAAAAATAGTTAATTTAATTGATAACAAAAAAATCATATTTATATAATTTTTTTCTAAAACTATTTTATACTATTTCTCTTTTTTTATTATCTTTTTTAATTAATATTTATCTTTTTCTAATTGATCTTCTAATCAATTAGAATGTATATTCTTTAAAGAGTTTATAATCAATATATTTTATTAAATTAAAAATATTTTAATTAGAGATATTTTAGTCTAAAAATAATTAATATATAAGACAATATGAATTTGATCTTATATAAAAGAACAAACAATTATTTTAAGTTGAATCTTATAAATAAGAAAAGAAATAATTTAAAATACTTATTTTATTTCATTCTTATTATACCATTTATCATTGTTAATGTTTTAACATGGTCTATTTTTTTTTACTTAAGGTTAGACTTTAAATTTTGAATATCTTGGTTAAGAGACAGTACCACTTATGTCAACCAATATTCATAAGTTTAAGCATATTTGAAAAGTTATATACAAATATTTATGAAATGAGACATGTTAATTATATTTCTTAAGTCACATATCAAAATCTTAATTGTCAAACAAAATAGAACAAGATAAATAAAGAATTATATTATAAATTAAGTGTGTTAAAATGTTAGTTTAAAATGAAAAATACTAAATAATAAAAAATTTATTACAATCATAATATTATAAGTAATTTTTTTTATAGTACAATTGATAGTATTTTTTTTAATAAATTGTTTAATTAAGATCATAATAATTAATAAATATTACTAACGTATAACTCACCAACTCCTATATATTAAATATGGATAGTTATCTAACACAATAATGTTCTTAGAAATTTTTTTAACAATTTTTTAAAGGATTATTAACTTATTTTTTAATTTAATTTTTATTTATCAATTCTTTATTTATTAAATACAAATTTCTTTTTAACATAATGACATTTATAATTTTTTTTAAATAAGAGAATTTTTAAAGATTTCTTTAACTTATGTGATTCAATTAATAATTATTTATAAATTTAATTTTAATATGCTAAAATAAATCATAAAAAATAAAAAAAATATTATGTTATAACATAAATTATTTATTATATTTATGTTTAAAAATATTTATTTATTTAATTTTTAATATAATTTATATATTTAAACATAATATATAATTATATGTTAATTTTAGTCATATATATAAATTGTTCAAAAACATCGATGACTTCAATTGAGCCCAAGAACGTCTTCGATTCCGTACAACCCATTCCAAATTGGAAATTGCCCCCATTCTCCTAGTTTGGGCCTTCTGTTCTTCCTCAATCGGTTCACAGTAAAAAGATAATAATAATAATAATAATAATAATAATAGAAATAAAAGCTTAAAAAAAAAAATAATTGGAGCTTCCATGATCCTATGATGATCCCAGATGAGTGTTGAGGAGAAAACAAAGGATACAGAGGGATCTGTTTCAGTTTGAAACTTGAACATCTCTTCGTTACATTCTTATCTTAGTTTTAGTTTCATCTCTTTTGTTGTTGGAAGGAACCCAACACAACACAACATTACAGTACGCAGATCTGTTCCTTTTTGTCACTGTCAACAGACCCATCCCTTCTTTCACCACCGTCAGGTGCCAAGTTCTTCTCTTTTTCCATCACTTCACTCACAATTTACACCTGATAGTGATGCCCTAACTCGTTGCTCCTCTTCCCATTATTTTTGTGGTTATGTCACCGACACTGCCCTATCCCCATTTTCACTTAGTATTCTAATCTTAATCTTCATTTGGCTCTTGCCCTCTTCTATTTCTCCATTTCAATCCCTCTTTTTTCTCTCAAAGTTTTGTTTTTTTAAATTTGTTCTGGTTCAATATTTTCTAGGAATTTATGGGGTAATTAGTTCCTGTGTGGATCAGTTTCTCAATTTAACTGTTAGTAACTATGTGTGCATCTTTTCTGATTCTTGGTGTCATGAGTTAAGCTAAAAAGTCTTTTTTGTTGTTGTTGTTGTATTCGTTTCTTTTTGTTTTACGATGGCAGTGATGATGACTTGAAGAAAGAATCAGATATGGAGGGTGGTGATCTTCAAAAATCTCTGTCTTTGCGCCTAAATCGTAGAGGAGACCGAAGTAATCAAAGTCAGCTTTCTAAAGGTGAGGAAATATTGTTATAAACTGTTTTGGTCCTTTAATCTGTTGAGAAAATTCTCTCTTTTTCTTTTGTTTCTTTACTAGAGGATATTGCAGTGAGGGAAATAGTTACTTTGGCTTTGGTAAATAAGCTAAGCTTGGTTGTTGGTGATGCAGATTTTGAGGAGGGTTTATTTCCTTCAGGGAGGGTACCCCAAGATTACCCCATGAAGATTGTTTGGAAGAAAGGTTTTGTTCGGTTGGTTCTTGTAGCAGGGATCTTGTGGATGTTATTAATTCTTCTTGCATTGTTGTTCCATATATGGTCATGTCAAACTTCTGTCTCCTTTTTATCAGGTTAGTAAAGTTTTCTCAAATTTATGTATTGTTTATAACGCTTCTTAATTGTCATAACATGGACTCTTCATCTAACTGCCGATTCTTAATGTGATTTTTTTGGGAATTGGGTAGAAGGGAATGATGCCTATACCTGTGGATTTTAGTTGTTCCTGGTATTAGAAAACAACGAGTAAAGAAAGTTTCTTGCCTTTCATATAAGATGCCCTTGATAAGAGCAGTTTGGAAGTTCATTTTATACTGTAGATAAGGCTAATTCTTGTGTCTCTTTCTCTCTCTCTTAGCCATAAATTGTACACATAACATAATTTTTTTAGCTGTATTTACTGTGGAATAAGAATTTAGAAGGTAAGAATCTCTCCAAATTTTAGGTAAAATAAGAATAGTATAAATGTATAATATGTCTAGGTACAGAAAATTAAAGAAAGTTTCTTGCCTTTCATAGATGATGCCTTTGAAAAGAGCAGTTTGGAAATTCATTTTACGCTATAGATAAGGCTCAGTCTTGTGTCCTTCCCTCTCTCTCTCTCTCTCTCTCTCTTCTCCATACGTTGTACATGTAGCATAATTTGTTAGCAGCATTTATGGTGGAATAGAATTTAGAAGGTAAGAATCTCCATAATTTTTAGTTGAAAATAAGAATAGTATATTATGTCTAGGTACAGAAAATTGAATTTAAGGTAATGTTTCTTGCTATTTTTTTTTTCTCTCACTCTGTTGGTTTAGATGGGTCATTTGTCATGGGCAGTAGGACTATACTTGTCTTATATTTTATCTACTATTTAATTGGTGAATTTAGATTCAAATTTGCTACAAGTGGGAATGTAGGATGATAATTTGATGGGAGGTTTTGTTAGATTATTAAAAGGCACGCTTCAAGGAATGGTTGTTCATCATAACATTCTTTGCCTTTTATTTTCTTCACCAAAATTTTCATCATGTCAATGTTTCTGAAAATATAGCATTTTTCTGCTTGACCTGCAGCTATGTGTAACAAAGATAGCAAGGTTTACACCATGTTAGACACTATGGGACTTGTATCAAAACCTCACAGTAAGATTTTGGTGGTTTTGCCTCCATCCATTCTATTTGAAATTCTCCAAATGATAATTGTGTTTGATATTGGTGCTACCTATATTCATTAGGATGTCCAATTCCTGTTTCCAATGATCCTGATAAAATAGTTATCCCAACTGGAAGAACTTCCAACGAAATTGTCAAAAATCTTTCTTACGTTATGGAAGATGAGGTTCCACATGATGGATCTCAGTCATCTCCTCTGTTTGGAGGTCATCCAAGTTGGAAACAACGGGAGGAAAGTTTCAAACTAAATTCAAATATGAAGGTAAATTATTAGCATGATTTGATCAAGTTCATTTTAATTGTAATTGCTTCAAAATTTTGTAAGATTATGTTGTAGTTGCCACAATTAATGAGTCATGCTTTCCCATGTGCTCTGGCCGTTAGGTGCATTGTGGTTTTATCCATGGTGGTGGTGCTGAAATGGATCCCGTAGACATCAAATATGTCAAGAAATGCAAATTTGTAGTTGCGTCTGGCATTTTTGATGGCTATGATTTACCTCACCAACCATCAAATATAAGCCTTCGCTCAGAGAAACTTTTTTGCTTTCTTATGGTGGTAGATGAGGTGTCTCTGAAATTCATGAGGGAAAATGGTACTGTCAAAGAAGACAGTGCTGGTGGACAGTGGGTGGGAATATGGCGACTTGTTCTTCTTAAGCATCCTCCTTATGATGAACCAAGAAGGAATGGGAAGGTTCCTAAAATTTTAACCCACCGGTTGTTTCCTCAAGCACAGTATAGTATTTGGATTGATGGTAAAATGGAGCTGATTGTAGATCCATTGCAAATGCTTGAGAGGTAATTATATCTGTTTAAATAGCCTATGCATAATTTTTCTGGTAACATCAACATTTTAAATCTGTTTTTCGTGATAGATATTTAAACTGGCATCCTTTTGTTTCTTGAGAGAGCTTAGAAGTATGAGGGGTAAAGGCATTTAATTTAGAATTTGACATGTTTCATGGGCGATCAGTTACTTACACAATAATCATTATCAGGCATACTGTTTGAAGGGCTCAATTTAATGGATGTCTTTTCTCTTGCATAGACTTTAGATATTTACAATCATGAAGTTGATGCATTATAGGGACTTGCTTGTCATGTGTTCGTGGGTTTTCTTTTGGGATAACTATTGATTGAATCATGAAATTAGATTTTCTATCACCCCCTTGTGATCTAGTTTGACACTTACCTCCTGTTCCTCTTTAAACAAATAAAAAGTGGCGCTTGAAACTGGTAAAATTAAGGCCTTCTAGCTGAATGGATAGCTTTTTTCTTTATTCCTGGAGTTACTTACCTTGTGTTTATTTGCACTTGTCACTTAGATACCTCTGTTGTATAACGGCTTATCTAATTCCTTTTGAAAACACTAATTTATACTATTGAACATACCACGAGGGATCTTAGTGTCCAAAATGTAAAACAGGGTATAAATTTGAATAAGTATTTCTATTTCAACCAGCAGAAGAAACAATGCTGACACTATTTGTATAAACTCTCCCACTGAAGCTTCAAGTTAAGAGCTTACTTACTGCACCTGCATTGTTGAAAAACTGCGGACTATGTCTGTGCAAGCCTTTCTGTTTGTCATGTAGGGTGATATAGGATTTTTCATTTGGAAAACATTCAACACCACAAGAGGTCAAAAATATATTATTATTATTATTATTATTGTCTAGTGTCTTTATTGGGAGTAATGTATGCTTGTTTGTATGAAAGACATTCCAGCTGGATTCAAAGCATAATAGGTTTTAAAGCTTGAAATTGAGACACTTGTTTACAAATTATATGTTCAATATGGATACTGAGGACGATTGATGTTGTGACTTGTGATGACTGTAACCTTGTAAAACTACCTTAACAATGCAGATACCTGTGGCGAGGGAAGCATACATTTGCCATTGCTCAACACAAGCATCACCGTAGTATATATGAGGAGGCTGATTCAAACAAGAGGCGTAAGCGATATGCTCGACCCCTTATTGATCTCCACATGAAAATCTACTATTATGAGGGAATGCAGCCATGGAAGTCAAATAAAAAGACTATTAGTGGTAAGAAAGGAAGCAAGACTTTATGGTTTTGCATTTTATTTCTTCTATCTGTTTGATTAACAATTTTGGTACGTCTATCATTCTGAGTTGACAAATCTTTAGGATATTTGCAACTGAGCCATGGTAAATTTGTCAAAATTACCACAAACACATAACCCTGTGGACTTAAATTCTTGTGAAAAATTGTACTTACTGCCGAGGGAATAAATAACGTTTTTCAGCTACCAGAGAAATTATTTACTGTCACATTCTGCTATTTCAGTGAAAACATGGATAGACCACTCCCCTCTGTCTTCTATGAAAACAGGGATAGACCGCTCCCCTTTGTCTTCCATCAGTCAGTGAGATGTGAAGGTGCAGGTCTGCAAGATCACTTCTATCCTTACATGCTTCTTGGTCACCTTTCTGTTAATTATCTAATCTTCTCCATATTTGTTCTGTATACAACAACTATAACAGTCATATCCTAATAGAAGAGGTTGACTACTTGGATCACATAACCATCATTGAGCTTGATTCCAATTTCTCAGAAATATTATTGACCATAAGTTTCCTTTTAATAGTTTCTGCCAATATCCTTATTGTCTCCCTCTATCCCTTTTCACAAGACTAAAACCTAAAAACCACTTGATTTACTCTCTTCACTGAATTGGTGCCTTCTTGTGTGGCCACACATCCATCTTAGCATTCTTATTTTTGTTACTCTCACTTTTTTCTTTTGTTGTCCTTGTCTTGTTGAAGTCCAACATTCACTACCATAGATTGCAGATAGTTGAGTAGCTGCACAATAAAAAAACTCTCTTATGAGCTTGATAAGTACTTTCTAGTCATAAATAATCTCTGATATCTTTCTCTAATTTAACCACCCAACTTGTGTCGATGGTGCAACGTCGTTAATTTCTCCATCCCAGATAGGTAACTTAGAAACCTATGATATGGCATCTTTAATTTTTGCCTCAATCATTTTCCTCGTTTCTTACTAAATATGCAATGCATATACTCTTACTTACTCCTACTCAAGCAAAAATCTTTTGATTCTATCATAGGCATCTTGAACATCCACCCTTTAGATGCTTAAATTATTATTTCCTCATTTGTTTACGGAAGAGTTAGTCAAGTCTTTTACATGTGATGTGATGTTTGTCAATTTGCTTAGCACTCTTGTGCAACATTTCTTCCTAGTAATCATATTAGTCTTTCACCTCTTGATCCTGTTCACTTTGACATCCTCATAAGAAAGTCCGTAGTTACATTCAAGAGTTATCACACTATTAGTTATTTCATCGTACATGTTTTGTATAGGCTGGATATAAATCATTTGACGTGCTTATTTTTCGAAGTCTTTCACAACGTTTATCCATGGCACTTAATGATATGTTTTCCTAATCATAAAATAAACTCTACTGTATAGTCAAGACACATGGATTCGTTGACATGTTCTGTTGTTCCTCTCTCACAATGCTTGGTGATGTCATGTTGTTAACCATAACTTATTATGATCTTTCAGATGTGCCAGAAGGAGCCGTTATCATTCGGGAACATACCAACATGAATGACTTATTTAGCTGCTTGTGGTTCAATGAGGTTCACCTCTTCACACCCAGAGATCAACTGAGTTTTGGGTATGTTGCTTACAGATTGGGGGACTCTTTCAAATTCTTCATGTTTCCCAACTGTGAATACAATTCACTGTTTGTGTTGCACCCTCACACAAGAGAGCACTCGTCTCCCATAGAATGGGTTAAACAGATCGATCAACTTAAGAATAGTAATTTAAAAGAAAGTAGGGGAGGACTAGGCTTGTTTACCCCATATCCTGGGGATCTTGATTCTGTTGTTCTGCCAAATGTAACAAGAACATCAAAAGCAGGTTGACATTTTGTTTATTGTTTTAACATATTCATTGTGATGTATTTTTTTTCTCAAGAATTTCTTGATGTTTATTTTGCTTGATCTTAATGAAAGTACAGATAAAGTTATTCAAATTTATTTTTAGGGTTTAGAAGTAAAGCGCCTTTTTGTCCTTCCTCGAGCCTTGGATACACAAGTGATGAGTTGTATGATAATAGTAATAGTATGGTAGAACACGAAATATTTGTTATTCCTTTTAAGGCTGTGGATACATTTGCATTCTCTTCATCTAATACTTCACTAATCTTTATTACTTTTGCTGTTGAAATGTATCTTAAAATTTATTTCTTAAATGTTGATATGAGGATATTTTCTTTGATACTTGTGTGATCGAATTTAAGTTCTTATGCAAATATTTTCGATACCTTTATCATTAGGCCGACTATAGTGTAATGTATTATCAATTTGTGGACAATTAGTTAAAGTATTAAATTAAATTAATTTTTATTTTGGTTTTCAATATTTTTATAATTTGTATGCTATTGTTATGATATAATAAGGTGACATTATGATAAATTCATTTTTTTTGTTGATCAAGATAAAAAAAATAAAATTCAAATGGTTCTCCACGCATAAATTTTTATGTGAATATATACATATATACTAATATACATATACATATGAAACATTGAACATTTATAATTAGTTTTTTAAGAGCATGAGTGATTGACAATCAGATGCAGATTAATTGATGATTCATGTTTGTCAAACTTTAAGTTGTTCAAATTATTATTAATGATTTTCTACAATTATTTTTTAACTACGAATGATCAACATTCAATAAAATTATTGTATTTGAAAGAGTTAATTTCATTATATATTAGGTCCTATTTATAGGGAAGGCATTAATCTACATTAGTGATTTTTACCCGCATAAGAGATTAATCTTAAACTGTTGACTAAATATATATAACTGGGTTGGGGGATTGGGTCATTCATGTCTGTACTACGAAAAAGCCTTAAAAATGCTTTTAAAAAAATCTGCAAATGAGAGGGAATCAACTGATATCTCCTCTCTTAACATACCCAGAGTGTCCATACGAAATATCTAAATTTAAGAGAAACAAACTTTATTTTCTTTTCTCCTTTCACCGACGCTATAGTACTAAACGTGCTTCATATTTTCTTTATTCTCTGTCCCCCACCACACGTGCTAGTTCGATGGTCCCTTACTTGCCTTTTGTTGTTGAGTAGCCGCTTATTGTCCCATTCGTGTTCGCGCTCTATGCTACTAATAATCTTGTGGTCATTGTGATGAAAAACATACAAAAACCACCTACTAATAATCTCAAGCAAACAATCATAAAAGTCGAATAAACCGATTTCATCGAACCAAATCCTCCAATAAAACGAAGTTAAATGATAGTTGAGGTATCTCCTTAACAGATAGCAGAAGTAAACATTTGTGGTAATATGAAACAGACTAGTTTGTATCTATTGCCATTTGCCACTCATTGTTGGCTGTTATTCGTAGACCATCTTTGATGACGCCACCGTAATTGACGACCAGGGATCCTTCCATATGATGAGATGTCACTCTGGGGATTAGTCCGAGTCCCTTGTGAAGCCCGAGGCATCCTTGTTGAAGATGTGACCTCTGCACTTAGGTCTCTATAAAACTGATGCTCATCACGTGGCGTTCTCAAAGATGATAAATTTGTTCTCCATCTAGCAGTACGATTCACCTCTGCCTCTAGATCACGGGATGATAAAAATGGAAAATTGGTTCTCACTCTACCCGTAGCAATTCTCTCCAGTTGGTGCACTGAAGGTAAATTGGATCTCCATCTAGCTGATTGATTTGTCTGTGTATCACCATTTGATACCCTGTGCATTGTTCCAGACCTTCTGTCATATAAAGGCACTCTCTGTCTTGAATTAGCTAACACACTGGCCATTCGGTTAACATTTTCAAGAGAGGAGAATATTTCATAAAAGAACGAGGACATAAAGTCAGCAAGACCCCCAGTGAGAACGGTGTCCCTACTGTATTCTGCACTAGAACTTGCATGGATTGAGCTAAAAAGATCTTCCAATCCCCTTTCTTGTTCCATCCTTAACCAATCACACTGTCGCGAGGGATCCACCTCTGTTGGTCGAACAGAAGGATGCTCAGACCGGGCATGCTTCCTGAGTTCTGGATATGTCCCCTGGAACTCACACGTTTCAGAAGAACAACTCCTTGGTTTAGAATTCATATACCTTCGAGCAGGCTCCAAAACCATGTATCCATATATTTCTCCCCGGCAAAGAGGGCAAATGAGCTTTGGTTGCAACTGGCTTCCACATTGAGAGGGGTGCTGAGGCTCTAACTGAACTTCTCTACTATGAGAGACTCTGCTTGTGACAGGAATTTCTTCCAATACTTCTGATGAGAGATGAGAAGCAAAGGACTTACAAAACTGGTCAAGGCAGTTGGAGTGGCGGTAACTGGTATTGCACATGTAGGGATGGCAACCCTTCTCATGGGAAGAACATTTCAAAAGAACAGCATTATGAGGGGATTCCATGCAAATAGGACACCTAGCTTCCTCCCATTCTTTCATTTCATCAACTGATACCAACAAATTCATAGGTTTATGCAGCTCAATGTTTTTGGAGTTGGAAGGGTAAGGATGTGATCTATTGCAATCAGTAGATGGGGACTTCACTCTTCTAACTTTTGGCATCTTGAAATTCAAGACGAAGCTGCTAAAAACAAGATCTTCCTTATTTCAACAACAAAAAACAAGGATTACACAATGAAATACCAATTGTAATTGAATAATTAAAGTATAATAAGTCTTTTTATACAATATATTGATAAGATCTGCTCTTCATTTCATTACAATTCTCTACCTTTTTATCCAAACACAATTTGTTTAGGAGAAAAGAGAAATTGATTTTTATATCTATCCACAAATATTGAGATTTTGAAGATTGCATCAACCTAAGGATAATTAGTTGGAACTAGAAGAAGTACACATTGGCACCAGCAAATACTGATCATTCATCTAACATAATGATATATAGTAGCATGGCGTATCTGATTCATTAAAAACATCACTTCATAATCAAATATCCAAATCTATTATGTGAACACAGCTAAGAGGATACCATTCTTGCCACCTACGACAACATAAATGACAATCATAGCATTTCAGATCATTGAAGATTATTGCCCAAAATATCACTTGATTTAGATGCTCCTCATGAGCAAGACATAAAACTATAAAAGTAAACACAGCTTGATAGGACTTCTTGGTGAAAAGTGAACAAAATGTCAAATGCATAAAAGTTTGCAAATTTTAAATAAATGATAAGGCACAGAAAGCACTAGAACATAATGTATAATTGAGTTTGCATGTAAAACCCATGGATCAAGAAGTTCAAGCTGCACATTTTTCTTATCAATATTAATGGAATTTTAGACATTAACAACTTAGATATGTCTATCTAATTCTGACATTTCATCAACAGGAATAAATAGCACATAGAAAATTATAAACATAACATGATTACTTTGGACACTTGCATTAACAATTGCAAATTAATTAAAACAGAACAAACAAATTCATTTTTGTTAATAAATACTTAAAATCTAATAGCATTGTGTCACCTGAAGGAGACATGTAAGCACTGGAAAAAACAAACAATCCATAAGGGAAAAAACCCATCAAAATTCCAGTATTCCACCCAAAAATTCTTTTGCCTTGAAAGACAGGGTAAGTTCATATATTTATTACAATATCAAAGTGTACTTAAGTATTCTGAATTTTGATATGTACTACAGATCTCTATTGCTATTGTAAGTCTCCAACAAAAATCACAACTTAATTTCACAAGTTACACAGCAAACAAGGATTTTATCTGCTGATAATATTTATTTAATAAGTATCCGAGGAAGAAAACCATAGATCCACACAATAGATGAAATGGAACAAAAAAACTATATATAGACAGCTATCAGCGTTCAGTCTGCTAACGACAAAATAATAAACCCAAAACAAAAGGCAAATATAGGTCATTGTTTATTGAAGAAAAAATACATAAACAAAACTTAACCTTCCTTTAAAAAAGAAATATGCTAACCCCTAAAAACTGTTATTTGGTATTTTGATATACATTATATATGGATTGGTATAGTTATTAAGCTATCATAGCGAACACAGGAAATAAGGAGAAAAAAGCTATCTACACCAACAAAGAAAAGGTTGTAGAACTAAACTTTTGTTGGAAATTCAGGATGTTGTATACCCAGTGCCTAATTCTTAAGATTTTGGGTGAAGATGTGATGTCATGTTCGCTCTTGTAGTCTATTGCTAGGCACAATGGTGCAGATTCCCTCTGCTTTCAGGCTCCCCTGGAAGGCTGAAACAAGATGCTGTAACAATTTTGGTTGGTTCCCTCTCCTAGAGGCTTGTTTTCCTTTACAACCTCTCTACATTGCATGACTCACCCCATAAAAAAAATGTATTTTATCTAGAGTTGTATTTTATCTTGAGATTTTCAATTTGGTACAAGCTTTAGTTATAGAGAAACTAGTGCAAAGGAAAAGGGCAAAAGCCCTAGAGGCACAATGGATTTTTAATACCTCGAGGAAAAACGTGCCAGAAAGTACACAAGGTACTAAAGGTGTTCATAGAAAAAGAAAACAGAAGAATATTTTACAATCTCGTATGATTTTTCACACATAACTAACAAATCAAGCATAACATCACAGTAGAAAAAGCTCTAAGCTGCTTGATGCCAAGGGTCCCAAAGACCAACAGTAAGTTATTCTCTTAACAGTCTAACTGTTTTACCCCTTTAGCATCAAATTTAGCAAGTTAGACAGCTGATCTTTCAGAAGTTTGTATCACTGCATGTCTGTAATCCACTGAACCAATCTAGCGCTCAGTTTCTTAGGCAAGCCTTTATACACAGAAAAGGGTATCCCCTTTATATATTACTAGAGGGGTCGAAGTACTTCGTGTTTTTAATAATTGTATACAGAAAAATATTAGAAATTGCAGAAGATATAAGAATTGTTTTTTTTTACTTCAAGGGTATAAAGGTCCACTAAAAAGTGGAGACCAAAAGGGTGATTACTAAAATGTATCCCCTTTATAATAAGTATAGAAGATTAATATAGATTAGATTCTATAAATTTATTACTTCTCAGTTAACTCAAATAGGAAAGTTTGAACTTTGGATTTTGCTTTCTCATAAAATCAATTTTTTTAACTTCATACATAGTCTTCTTACCATCAAAAGTTCACTCTTGAAAAATACAGCTAGAAATTGATATACTTATCTCTATGTTCAAGTTCTCTGTTTGGGGACAACCATACTTATTTGGATTAACACAAATGATTTGCTGCATAAGTGGTAGGCAACTAGGCATTGACCGCTCTTTACTCTGACATGCATATTCGCCAAACAATTTATTCTTTCAACATTAGAAAGCTATTTTCCAATGAAACACCCCGTTTTGGAGCCCTTGGCAACCACAGGGTGCATCTATTCCTTCAACTTCGAAGTAATTTAAGATCATTAAACAACTAAAGAATTTCACGCGATAGGATTTAGTTGGTAGCATTTTTTTTCGTGTTTTACGAATAGGTCCCTAACTCCTTCAAGAACAAACTAGAAAGGGGGTACTAAGTAAAAACTTTAAAATCTCATCCTTAACAATGCAGTGCACCTTATAAAGAGAATGAATTTAAGAAGAAAAAAAATTAAAAAGAAAATACGCTTTCAAAAATGTTTGATGATTGCATGATGCGTTGCAATTGAATTAATCAGTAATCAGGCAGTTATTTCCAAAAAAACGCAATAATCAACATTGCACAGCAATTCGTTTAGCAGAAAGCAGCATCTAACCAAGCGATAACCTAATTTTTTTAGGCAGTATCACAAATAAATTTGATCTTGAACAAGAACGTAATGAATAATAATAAGAATAATTGAGAGAGGGAGAGTAGAAGAGTTAGGGTTAACCTGAAAAGTGGCCGTGTGGGGATTGCAATGAATAGAGATGAAGATTAGCGATCACGAGCACAATAAAAAGGGTTCGGTTTTGAAATTTAGAGTGAAAAAGTTTCGAATTTCTGATTCGATTTTAAAATGAGAAAATCGTGTATTTCGTAGCTATTGAGTTTGTTGTTCTATCGTCATCTGAGTTTATTTTATGAGCATATTCTAACTATTATCTGTACCAAAAATCAATATAATCTAACATTTATTATATATAAATGGCATCCAGATATTCTGTACAATGTTTTTTTTAATATTATTTTTATTATTTAAAAATTTAAGAATAAAATAGTTCAAAAATTATTTACACGAAAACATGACATCTCTTTTGTAATAGATTAGTGAAATTGAGACACTTCGTGTCTCTATTAAAAGTAAAATAAAAATAAAAATTAAATGATAAGTATATATTAATCTAGTATTATGATTAGTCCATTAATTTTAAAGTCTTTGTTTTAATAAGAAATATTATTTTTTTTATAATTTTTTAAAATGAAAGGGTATAATGGTCAATAAAATATGAAGATCAAGGTGGTTATTAAAATGAGTATCTCCTTTATATATTAGTATAGATAATATATGTATATATATGTGTGTGTGATTCGTTTACTTGAGTCGTTCAATAACTCATATTTTACATTAAATTTTAACGATTTAACTATTAAATTTAAATTTCTTAATAAATAGATTAAATTTTTAAATTTTTAAAAATTTGAAAATCATTTAGTATTTCGTTTCATTAATTCAAATTGATAGATAATTATAAAATATTTTATATGTTGATTTGAAATAATGAAACGAAGTATCAAATAATTTTAAAATTTACATATTTGATCTATGTATTAAGAACTTTAAATTCAAAGGTTGAATTGTTAAAATTTGTTGTTGAGTAAGTTTAGATAGACTTACTTCGCGAGTAAATGAATCTTTCTTATATATATATATATATATATATATATATATATATATATATATATTAAGAATTTTAAATTCAATGGTTAGATCGTTAAAATTTGATGTAAAACATGAGTTATTGAACAAAGTAAATTTAGATGGATCCCCTTATATATGTGTGTGTGTATATATATAGGTAGATAGATAGATAGAGAGAGAGGAAAAGGGATCAAATGACTTAAAGAGTAAATCTTGCTTAAGTTACTCTACTCAATAACTCATGATGCATGTTAAATTTCAATGATCCAACCGTTAAATTAAAAATTCTTAATCATAGATCAAGTTTACAAATTTTGAAAATTATTTGATGTTTCATTTTGTTAATTTAAATTGATGGATAATTATAAAAATATTTTATTCATTGATATGAATCTATATAATGAAGTATCATATGATTTTTAATTTTTTTAATTTGTAGAATTAATTTATACATTAAAAACTTTTAATTTAACGGTTGGATCGTTGAAATTTAACATATATAATGAATTATTGAGTGAAGTAACTTAAACAATATATGTATATATATATATATATATAAACTAATCATATTTTTTTTTAATAAATCAATATAACATAATGAAACTTGTACCTTCTCAACATTTTTTCGAGAGGTCTTGGTTGAGTAGCTTGAAAATTTGTTGACAAGGTTTGATTGGGAGGTTTAAATTGAAAGGATCAAGTTAAAACGTTTTGGTCGAGTACTCAACTTTTTGTCGAGAGGTCTTGGCTGAGTATCTTGAAAATTTGTTGAGAGATTCAAATTGAAAGGATCAAGTTAAAAGGTTTTGGTCGAGTACTAAACTTTTTGTCAAGAGGTCTTGGCTGAGTATCTTGAAAATTTGTCGAGAGGTTCAAATTGAAAGGATCAAGTTAAAAGGTTTTGGTCGAGTATTCTACCAATCATATTCTTAATAGATTGAGTAGCCCGATCCCCTAGAGAATGTTGGCACAAATTCAACTTGAAACTAGAGCTGTCAAAATGGGAAAACTTGACCTGTTTAGCTTGATCCACCTCAACCCATTTTATAAGTGGGTTGACTTAACCCAGCCTACCTGTGTTACTATCTAAAAAAATTTAGCCTAGTCAAGTTCACCACGAGTTGGTGGGCTAAACCCTCATAACTTTTTCTTTCAAAAAAAGCTCCCATTTTAAGAAGAATCAAAACACATGTTAGAACACAAATCATCTCTAATTGGCTAATTCATAACACAAACTTGTAAAGACTTATCGAGGTGCTCGCAAAGGCTTAGAGATGAATGGCCTACAGTGGCTCATCATTGCACATGGTGGCTCCCAACTACTCTAGCACAGTGGCTGAGGGTGGCTTGCAGTGACTCATAGAGGCTTACAATGGTGGCTCGGGGTTAGGGAGTTGCGTTGGCTTATGGATGCAAGAAGGCTCACGTCATGGAGGTGTGATGGCTCATGGAGAAAAGAGAGGAAAAGTCAGGCGAGATTGTTGGCAGGTCCATGCGACGGATCGCGAAGGCTTGAGGAGTTGTGGTAGATGAGTTACCTAATGAGCTTGGGGTTGCATGTGTATTTTCTAAAATTTATTTGTGTTCAGGTTACCACCAAATATGAGTTATTACATTTGTTATTCTTAAAACCACTTTTAGAACATTTGATGACCATTATGAATTCTTAGTTATGCATTTTGGTTTATCAAATGCTCCTTCTACATTCTAGTAGAGATGGCAAAGTGGGCCATGGCCCGCGGGCCGGCCCGTTGGCCCGCCAAAAATTGGCAGGGCGGGCCAAGCATTTCAACCCGCCAACTTGGCCAGCCAAAAATTGGCGGACTGGGCCAATCATTTCAACCCGCCAACCCGCCGAGCCAAATAGCGGGCTGGCCCGCCACAACCCGCCGGCCCGCATAATTTTTTTTAATTTAATTATTTTTATGTTTATTTTATTTTGATGTAGAAGATGAGGATGAAGATGATTAATTAATTGTATTAAACTTGTTTTGTAGAATAGCAAAAAATTTAGTTTATAAATAATTTGTAAGTTTATAATTTGGTTTCTATTTTGGTGTAAATGGACTAATTTCTATTTAATTTTGTTCTAAGTTTGTAATTTATTTTTGTTGAACATATATTATGTACAATATGCATGCATTTTTAATTTTCTATGGTTATATTTATTTATTTATAGCAAATTTTTTTTATTTGACCATAAAATATATTTTTTTTTTATTTTTTATTATTTTTTTTTTTGTAAGCGGGCTGGCCCGCTAGCCCATCCTTAGGCGGGGCGGGCCAGCATCTCCAGCCCGTTTTACATTGGCGGGCCGGGCCGGCCCGCCCCGTTTTTGGCGGGCCAATGGCGGGCCGGGCCAAAACGGGCCGGGCTGGCCCGTTTTGCCATCCCTACATTCTAGTCTGTTATGAATGATTTACTTAGACCTTTTTTTTATGAAAATTTGTTTTAGTTTTCTTTGATGATATTTTGATCTATAATGCTTCATTTGATAACCATATTACGCATTTACACATTGTTCTTCAGTTGTTGTTAACTAATAAGTTTTATGCTAAATTATCAAAATGTGTGTTTGGGGTGACTTCTGTGACTTACTTAGGTCACATTATCAGCGCTCAAGGTGTCTTTGGGGACCCCGAAAAGATACAGGCCATTATGGACAGTCTTGCACCATTTTCTCTCTTGGATTTACATTGGTTTTTAGGCCTAACAGGATTTTTTCATCGTTTTGCACTACATTACCATTGCCACTCTACTCACCAATTTACTCAAGTTTCAAACTTTTACATGGGCATTTGAGGCTCAAGAGGCCTTTACATTGTTGAAAAAAATAGCTCACCACGTTCCCAACTTTGTGTCTGCCTAACTTCAACTTTTTATTTGTTATTAAAACTAACGCATCAACTACGATTGTTGGTACTATTCTTTCCCAAGCTGAATAACCACTAGCTTTCTTTAGTAATAAAATGTAAAGTGAATCATTTTACATCATGGAAATGTATGTTATAACAAAAGCCCTTAAAAAGTGGCAATAATACCTTTTGGGACACTATTTTCAAATTATAACTAATTAGCAAAGTTTAAAGAACCTATTGTCCCAATCCATTCATACCCTGACTCAACAAAAATGGGTTACTAAGTTTCTAGGTTTCAATTTTCATGTCGTGTAGAGGCTCAAAAAAATAGAACTTGGCCACGAATGCATTATCTAAACCTAATTTTCCTTCCATCTTTGTGTTCTCTATACCATCCCTTGTTGTTTCCCTTGTCTAGGAGTGCCAACATTATTACAACAAAACTTTAGAGTCAAAATTTCAAAACAAAGATGTTACATAATTCACATAATGGCTATGAATTTACTTTCTACCATGGCTTGATGTTTTTTCAAAGGCTCGCTTTTGTGTCAGACTTTCCAGACCTCTGTCAAAACCTAATCAAGGAATTCCATTAAATCCATGTGGTTGGCCATTTTGGTGTGAAACCCACCTTGTCTCGCCTCACAACATCTTTTCATTGGCCTAAGGTGGCATTTGTTGTTCCTTCTTTCACCATTAATGCTCCATATTCCATCATAATAAATACATGCCACAAAAAACATTGGGGTTATTACAACCATTAGCTACCCTGAAGTGGGTTTAGGAAGACATAACCATGGACTTTATCACGCACTTATCTTGTTCGTATGGACATACAAAAATCTGGGTAATGTGTGATCGCCTCAACAAGTTTGTCTATTTCTTAACTCTTTTAATTAAATTTTCAGCCACCTAACTTCTTCAACGATTCATTGTCGAGATTTGTCACCTTCACGGAGTCCCTAAACCCATCGTATCGAATTGTGATCTTATGTTCAACTCCTTCTGGAAAGAGTTATTTTGAATGCAAAGGACTACTCTCTATTTTAGTTTGACCTACCATCCTCAAACGAATTGCCAAACTGAGGTTTTGAATCATTCTTTAGAAACCTATTTACACTACTTCATTGGAGATCTTCCTCAAATGTGGTATCACTTCTGTCATCTCAATGAGTATTGGTATAATACTTCCCATCACTCTGGCCTTGGTACATCCTCGTTTCATGTTTTGTAAGACCATCCTACCCCGACCACCATTGACCTGTTTTCAAATTCCTCTTCACTTACCATTGTCACTAGCATCTTGCATGAACACAAAGAAGTAGTTAAAACCATCAAAGCAAATTTGTTTAGAGAAAAATAATGCATGAAAACCCTTGTAGATTTAGGCTACAAGGATCTTACCTTTAAGGTGGACAACTGGGTTCTCCTCCATTTACAACCATATTTCCAAGCTATGGTGTCTCGTCATTCGTCAACCAAGCTAAGCCCCTATTTCTTTGGTCCTTTACAAGTCTGTCATCGCATTGGTCCCGTAGCTTACGACTTGGCACTTCCCTTGACCTCCAAGATTCATTTGGTGGTTCGTATCTCAAAGCTTTGCTTTGACCTTATCGGGCCCTCTTCCTCCATTGGCACTCCAACCTTTACCCTTATATCTCACAAATGAGGACCTATCTTCTAATCCTTACTCTTTTGAACCCCATAACCCTAACTCTCAACTTCTCTCTCTCTACCAAAACCTCACTTTCCAAATTCAATGGCACTCATGCCTTATAACCCACCTAACTCTACTAAACTTACCATGTCATTTGTGGACCATCACGTGACATCTTCACCCATCATAAATGTTGTCAATTCATCTAAATCATTTCCTAAAAACATAAACGTATCAACGTCACTCCCCCTTTGGTGATTCGCGACTCACCACTTTCAATTACTTAGCAACTGACACCTTATGATCTTGAGGACAAGGTCATTTTTGAACCGAATAGTAATGATAGGCCCAACATGTTATGAGGTCACGTGTGTGGATAAAAGATTACATTTAGGCCTAGTTGTTGTTTTTAATCACTTATCTCTTGAATAATCTTAGCCTTGCACTTGTAATGAACTATTTCATCATATTTTTTTGGGGGGACTATATTTGTTTTGTTTTGATGGAATGAAAAGGAGAATATTTTTACTAGATTAACTTATCTTTTTAGTTAATACTAGTGTAGCCCTAATTTTCCAGTAACTCAACCCTATAACATGGTAATAAAAAAAATGATGATATATTAATATAAACAAAGTGTTTAATTATTTAATTACTACAATCCCACGTATTTTTAACCTTTTTAGTCTAAAAAATGATTATTTGTAGTCTTTATACAAACACTTTTGGTCCTTGCTATCGAAAAAGAAAAGTCAATGACATGATATGACAATGTTAAGTTGTTGACCTAATTTTGATATGTATTATGATTTTATGTTTTAGTTGGTATATTTACTTTACATTTTTGTCATTAAATTTACACCAGTTTTACTTAAATTTCTTCACTTAGAAATTCTCATTTTAGCTTTTATATGAACATTTTTTAATATTTTAATCTCTATCAACATCATTTTTTTTTCCATCTTCTTCTCACTTCTTTTACTTTGCAACCTTTATTTATTTTAAATCCTCTTACATCAACTAATTTTTAGTCACCTAAAATGGAAGAATTCTAATATTGCTAAGTTTAAATGTATTCATAAGATAAGATGATGTATATATAATTTACATGAAAGAAATTTTTTATTTATCAACGATTTTTGAGATTATCTTTAAGATAATACTTGTTTTGGAACAATTTTTTTTCTTACTATATTCTAAAAGTAATTCTTCAAATTATTTTATAGACTAGCATTTAAAATTAAAAAACCAAAACACAATCAAGCAAACACAAAATAATATACATTCATTATTTTAAAGACTGCGTGCTTAAAGCAGAAAAAGAAATGTCTGTAAAACAAAAGTATTCTACATTTTTTATTATGTATTTTTGAGAGATAAATTGATCATTTTTTTTCTTTAATAAATGAATTGAAACTAATATACTTTTTTCCGATACTAAATTAGGAACTTACTTTTTAAAATATAAAGAAGTTTACTCATTTGGTTTTTCCTTTTTATTGTCAATAAGAAGTTTACTCATTTCCCTGAAAGAAAAAAAAAAGTTTATCCATATTAATTTTCTTGTTTAGTTTCTCCTTTTCAGTTTTTCTCTTATGTGTTTTATTTTTCAGTTCCTTGGCCCTTTCCTTATTTGGGCTTTAGCCTTTAGACGAACTAATTTGTTGTATGATTAACTATCTCCTTCTCCCTCTATACAATATACATGCAAGCAACTACCTAACATTTTTGTTTTCACAGGTTTATATAACAAGTTTAATTTTAATAAACGATATAAAGTTTTTTTTAATATTATTAATTAATAAAAGAATTATAAGTGTGACTTCTAAAATAACTATTACAAAACAAAAGTCGGGAATCTTACTATGTATGACAGCTTGTAATTAAATGCAGCATAAAAAAATATTTCACTATCAATGCATTATAATTAAATTCATATATATAGGTTAATTATATATGTTTTGGGAAATAGTTGAAATATTTAGTATAAATAAAGTCTCAACAAAAGCTTACTTATCACCCTAAATGATTTATATTTTTTAATGATTTATTATTTTCATAAATATGAAACTTATTATGGTACATGTTTAGTGTGCTTATTATTTTTTACATTGTTAACCACTTAAAAATTACCTGAGATATGATTATTAAAAGATTAATAATATTATTATCATATATGACAATTATTGATTAAATGAAGTTTAAAAGAAATTTCATTGTCAGAATATTACAATTAATTTTTTATTTCCACAACTAAAATTTTAGCAAAATATTTTTTTAATAATTGAAGCTAGAAGTATTTATATAGAAAGATGGGAAAGAGAAAGGAAGGATAGAGGATACAAATTATAAATAGGTGACGATTTTGGGACTTTTGTCAACTAAATAGCTGGGGGAAAAAAAATCGAAGATTAGTGGACTCATTAAGCACTTTAGAGAGACCTTTTGATTCCAGGAAAAACCATATTAGATACTTGGAAGTCCAAACATGTCCCTCAGCCGCATAACAAGAAATGTGGATTAGACTTAAATTTCAGTGAGAAAAGGATAATGTAGACTTGCATCACAATGTATTATAAATAGATTTTTTTTTTTTAAGGTATTATAAATAGATATATTTGAATTTGAACCCAGGAACTTGTTCCATGGTGGGAATTGGAAAATCAAACGATTCCTTTGTATTGGGAGGATAAATAGATCCCAAAATAATTTTACAGTTTTGATCCTATAATCTATACATGAGTGAAAAAAGAATGGCTGTGTGAATTAATGGAAAGAATAACAAAAATGCATATCATGGCTACACCTATTCACTCAAAAAGAATGAAACAATGGAGAAGGAAAATCCTATTCACTCATGACGTATGAATTACTGGTATCACTGATGTTCCTCTGAACAAAGGGGAGAATTCTGATCTTGAACTATTGGTGTCACCTTTTTGAGGCATGTGAAGTGGTTCAATTGTAGTGTCCCCATATAAACTTGCTACATTTGAAAGACTAGAGCTCAACAAAGTTGTAGTTCTAGGAGCAAATGATGATTTGTTGCGGGATCCACTTCTTGGAGACAGATTAACTTGCTCCAAAGCTCTGAATTGAAGCTCACAAGGGTAGTCTCTCACACAGCCAATGCGTGGTCCCGCTCCAGTTGTCCACTTGCATGACAACTGCTTCCCCAGTTGATATGATTTCATTTCTTTATGTGAGTTTATTCTCTTGAGTATGGACTCTTGTGGAATTGTCTCTACATCATTGTCATCACATAAGTTTTTCTCTGAATTTGTATGGTCTAGCTCAGGTACTAATGCTTGTGCATCATTGTGAGATTCCATTTGGCAACTCACACAACTTTGCTCACCACCTTCTATGTTTTTTTCTAGTCCTTCAAGTTCAAACACATGACCCCTTTTTGGTATCTCAAGATTGCTAAGTTCTCTTCCAAGCAACTGAAATTGTCTTGTGCTAGGTGTCATTAATGCAGAAGCCTTCTCAGTTTTAATCAAATTGGCCTTCTCTGCTGCAACTGAGTCTTCAATAATGGTCCCTTCAATCTCTAGGCCATTCATGTTCTCGGTAAAGTCTTCTTCAGATGAGTGGCTTCTAAGATGACCACTGCTTCTCAGAGAACGTAGTTCATCAGCCTCATCAACTGGATCCATCTGCATGTAACAAAAGGAATTTCCTCAGAACATGTTCTTTCGCATCTTGTAATTACAGATCCAAACCATTGCTACATATCCAAATAATGTAAATCCTTTGTTTTAACTTTTAAGTTTCTATACCTTGACATCTGAAAGGCTCACATTGTTCTCCTGAAGGAATGAAATAAATTCCTTAAAATTTTCTTCTGTTGGTCGATAATGACCACTGTGAGGCCAAACTGCCTGTTGAAAAGAAACAACAAAATAATTTTAATTAAGCACATAAAAAAATAAAAAAATAAAGAGTCATCCCAGTGATAAATTTACAAGCCTTATGTCAGATTTATACCTTCAAGACACCATGCTCAACCACTAGTCTTCCAGCAGAAGATGTAGCTCCTCCAGCCAAGAAGCTAGAATGCTGAAATGAACCTTTTGTCTTCTTGCCGACATACAATGTCTTAGATGTGCTAAGGACAAAAATCCACTTGGCATGTGCATCTTCAGCTGTGTTAAGGAGCTCTCCTGATTTCTTGTAGAAGAACTTTCCATCCTCCACAACAACTTCATAAGCCAACCTTTCCATCTGAAAAAAAAAATTAATGAAAATAGTTAATAAAAATTGAAATCAAAGAAGCTCAAGTAAATTTGTCTAACAAGAGATGTTCACATAAATGGAAGAAACCTTACCGGTCCAAGATATTTAATACACTGCTGTTGAAGTTTGGAACGAGGGCATTTCTCAAGATTTACTTCCTTTCCTTCTCCTATGTCTAGCCTGCAATTTCAAAGAGCTTGATTCTAAATTCTGGTTTTAAGATCTATATACTACAACAGCCTAAGTTTTAACCCAGAAACATATTTTACAAAGAGTATTACCAGTAGAAGAAGGGTTCTCTGCTCTGACACTGAAGCCACTTATCATAATAGAAGTGTAGATTATGTCCATAGCGATGGCGTGGATCAATCTATTGCACAGTAAAAACATTTTAGTTAGTAATAAATAATTGATGAATAACTAACAGACCAATCTATAAGCAGATAAAGAAGTAGAAGTGTAGAACAATCATGTTTTACTAACCGCTTCAAGCCAGTGCTGAAGAGCTAGTTTTTGAGCTTTATCATCTTTTGATAAACCTTTTCCAACCTGCAATGACAATGTGAAGTTTAATTCAGTTTCTTGCAGCTTGAAAATATGAACTAGAAGGTTAGAGCACTGAGATAGTAGTTATTGAAGGTATTGTGACTAATAATGACCATTACCCTTCCAATAAATTAAACTTCCAAAGCATACTGATGTTAAAGTACCTTAGCAGCTCTAGTTCTAGCTCTAGACCAACGTGAAACCGCAGTTTCATGCTTCTCAATCTCAAAGAAAGATATGGAGCTGCGCTTGAGTTCAGCAAAATCCAAGAGCTTCCACCTATTTATAAAAGATAAAAACATGTTAGAAACACATGAAGTTTTGTAAAGAAGGAAAGAGGTTCTAAGGCCAATAAATAAGTACCAGCTTTGTTCAACAAGAATTGCACAATCTGCTAGCTTTCTTCTGGTGCGAAAGCTCTTGTATACTTTCTGCAACTTAAGTGCAGCAATGTGTTTGGGGCTGTTTGGATTCAAAAGAGCTGATTGGATGGTTTCAACTTGACACTCTGACTTAAAACACAGATCATCCATTTCTTTGCTCTTTTTGCTGGTCCTTGAGATAGTCATGTTTTCCTCTTTATCAAATGACAAATTGTTGGTTGAGATAATGTTATCAATGTCCTTTCTTTTGAAGCTCACAGATGCCTCTATTGTCATCTTTCCAGAACCAAGAGATTTAAGAATGGTGGGTTCTAAATCTTCGTTTTTGAAACTGACAGATCGTACTGGAGTTTTGATTTCATCATTGCCAAAGTTGATGGATTTTACAACCACAGAGTCTAAGCCATCTTCCACGTCATTGTACTGGGCAAATGGACATGAGAAGGAAATCCCCATATGACAGCAAAACCAATCTGTAAAAACTTGTGCAATCCGTGGTCCTGAAAAATTGCAAAGTCAATATTAAAGTACAAGATGATGCATTTTTCATGTGTCAAACTACGTACATCTTCAATACTAAGAACAATAATATGAAATACAAAGGTTCCACAGCCATCAAATTCAGACCGTACTCACATTACAACCGCACAATACCATTCAAGCATCTGGATAAAGGAATTTTGGAAATTAAAAAATAAAAAATTTAAGGCCCATTTTTCAAAATGCATTATTCTATTGATTATTAAGCAGGCAAGAACAATAACACTTATCATCATCATCATCAAACTGATAAACAAGAACTCAAATTCTATGCTGCTCCAAAACCGTCATAAATAAAGGATCACGGATCCGAAAAACCCATTAGCTAAAGTCTCATTTTTTACAGAAAAATCCCAGAAAAGTCTCATATCCATGAAAGGAGAATCTGAAACATAGTTCCAAGAAAACCCCATTTCATTTTCTTAAACAGATTCCAAACAAATCAAACATCACAGATAGGCCAAATAATGAAGAGAAAGGATCTAAACAGAAACACAAACAAAAACACATTCACCAAAACATCAATATTTAAAAAATAGATTATATTTGCATCTCCGTTTCTCTATGAACAGCTATACATCTGAATAACATTCATTCAGCACAGTATGCAATATGCAGACATGGATAATATTTACTCTATCAAAAGAAACAAACTTATTAAAATAGATTCTTAAAGTAAAAGGAAAATGAAGAGTGTATTGAACGGTAAATAGAGTACCTGAAGATTCAAAAGCCAGGAAGGAAAAAAGAATCTATGGAAGGTTGATGAGATGAGAGAATCAGAATGGAACACTGTTGAGTTAATGAGGATGTGATATGAAATAATATGATATGATACAAATGGTGATGAAGGAAAATTGAACTAACTAGCTAGCTTGCACTTGTTAACCAAGGGAATGGGATCCTTTGCTATTAATCACTTAACATATATATATATATACATGTTAGGAGAAGAATAAGATGCAGATGAAGAGAGAGAATGAGAGTTTAGAAGAGTTAACAGAGAGAGAGGGAGACATTGTTTCCAACCACGTGGAGTCGAACAAGTATACTCAAATTGAAATTCCCTTCATTTTTATTTTTCGGATTTATTTATTTTCCTATAATTTTAGAAACACCCTGGTTTCTTTACCAGCAGACCCATGAATTGACATGCAACCTTATTTTAATTTCTTCTCTTTTTTAGAAACAAAATTAAATTTCTCAAATAATAACTTCTTTACATATACTTAAATTCACTTGCGACTCGTGAATATATCCTTAAAATCCTTTTAGTTATATAACATTTTAGTTAATATTTATTGTAAAATAAAATAAAGGTTGGTGAACTTTTCTTTCACGCACGCGTACGCGTAGAGCTTAAAATTGGGTTCTTCGAATTACATATAAAAAAAATGGGCTGGTCAAAATCATATAATTAGTAAATAAATATTATTGTCCAAAAAATTGTTTTATAAATCCTTGGAGTTCAAGTGTCGATCCATATTGTGTGTTAAGTGTTATACGAATCTTATCTGTCTACAAAACTACTAGACTGTTTTCATAAACTATCACTATTAATATCTGGTTAATTAATTTTATATTTTCACTCATCTTTACTATTTTCATTCGCACATTACTTAATAATATGAAAATATATTTTAATCAGTTCATAGAAATGAAAATATTATAAATATAATAAAACAGTAACTTGTTATTGCTACTACTAATTTGAAACAATCACAAACTATTTAGAGTTATCCATAAAAATTACATTATATAACAAATTTTGCCGCTTATTATAATATTTGGTAGCTATAATATATAGAAAATAAAAAGCTAGCAGAGTTGGGTCTAATAAATTAAGAACTAATCTCTCACAACATAAAAAACTAAGTTCAAATTTTTGCCGATAGAAGTGTTAACATTTTGTAAATTTTGTGCCCGACCGTAATTCCAACAAAATTGTATTAAAAAAAACTTATAAAAAACATATAAAATATGCATTTAATATGTTCTTCAATAGTAATATTGATAATACAAAACAAACCATGAATCTCGTCCGACTAGCATTATGAGGTTGTTTCTAATGTCATATTAAAATAATAATAAAGTACTTTTTTCCTTCATTGGAATTTTGTCTCACTACTTTATTCTTAATAAAATTTCAATAAAGACATATTCTTAAATAATAGATATCCATGGAGAGAAATCGTATATTATTTTTTACAAGGTTGTATTTATAAAACTAACTTGTAAATTACATGTTAAGATCTAATTATAAGTTATAAACTTCTTCAATTAACTTATAAAAAGTAAGTTATAAATTCTTAGAATAAGCTCTTGTATTAAATTATTATTTTTTAATTATTTTTCCTTGATATATTTTATTTATGTATCATATGTGAATGGAATAAAATACTTTTCTTATTTATTTATTTCTCTACATTTTTATTTCTATATCTTTTAATTTGTTTTTTATCTGCATTATTTTTATAACCTATTCACAAGTAATTTATTTATCAAATATGATTATCATTAGTTATTGATATATATATATATATATATATATCAATCACTTTACTCTAAAATCTCGTGTTAACATAACACATTGGTAACTAAATAGAAGAAATTGTTATATATGATCCAAAACTATATTATGATATCGATAATCCACATGAGACATAATTAAGTTTTATTGTTTGTTTCTAGCAAACTAAAATTTCAGGTAGCTACGTTTTACGTTGAAACTGACTATAGACATGTAATAATATTAAACTAAGTTTTTGGCCGTTTTAATGGGTTTAGCTACATAAGAAAGTATTGTTATGATGATTTGACTTGTTTGTTTCTTTTCTTTTTATCACGTATATGTAACTTCCAATAAAATTGTGGATAATTTTCTAGGAAATAATCACGCTTTCTATGAGGGGTCATTTTCACGACGAATTCTAGAAGTAAACTTCAATCCATTCCAAGTGAGAACGAAATTGACTTTATCAAAATCAACCATTAATTCCAAAAATTGCTTAGGTCATCTCAGATAATCCCTACCCAGCGTAGTTTATGTGTTTAATTAACCATCAACCACTAAATTGAATATACCCAATTGAATTCGTGGCATGAACTTTCTGCCCTGTGGCTGATTTTGTATTATGGAGCTCATTGCTGACGAAAAATGTAACAATTTTTTTATATGTTCATACAAAGTTATCGATTTGAAAATATTTATGCGATGTGTGAAGGCTAAAAAGTTGGAAATTTCCTTGCAATGTTCTAAGGATGACCCACAGGCGATTCTAAAGTTGAACTTGTGTCATTGGCTAATAGCAACAAAAAGGTTTTAAGCTAGCAGTCCAAATAGTCAAAAGTGATCAAACATGTTTGCACCTTAAATCCACCGCATATATTATCTGTAACACAAAATATTAAATCAACAAAACTTTATGACACTCTAACGTATTGTTACAAATGTGCAATATTTTCTGTATATGATTATAACTATAAATCTTTGGAAGTTTTTAATTTAACAAATAATAATAAAAAAATTAAGAAAAACCTGGTAAAAAATTAATTACTATTTTTAGATAGTAAATCAAAAGGCATTATCATTTTGGTGCCAAATTTGATTATCACGTACCTGAAAAAAAATAGACAGAGACATTATATATTAATAATTGGGTATGCAAACGTACGGTGTCGGAAAGTGGTGTACAGCATATGCATAAGTTGGTGAGAAGATAATATTTAAATATAAAATTAAACTAACTCTTCCTTCTTCTGGTTTTTTATTATGAAAATTGAAAAGGACTGCTTTAGGTGGTAATTAAGGAAACATACGTTAGGAATCTACGTGTTTATGTTTCATCTTTCGGTCATTTGATTTATTCTTTTCCTATTTTCATAAATTAGATCTATATCTAGAAAGCTACCGGATCTTACCATTTCAGATTCAACAAGACTAGATGATATTACAATTCAAGAAATGAGGAGCCTTCATATTATTCATTCATTAATCTATTTCGGTTTAAAGTAATTTTTAGCGAATTTAAATATTAAAAATGAAAATCAGTGTATTTTAAAAATGAATTTAAAGCATATTTTGAATGGTTTTACTTTAATCCAAAATTTATACTTATCTAAGTTTATGTTTTTTTATTTATTAATAGTTGTGTATTATTAATGAGATCTATTGAGATAGTCAATAACATTTTATAACATGATATGATGTTAATATTTATATAATTTTGTTTTAAAATATTATAAACTATATTTTGTTTTATTTTATAATAAATTATTTTTAATTTTAAATTTAATATATATACAAATCAGTTTTTTAGATGTTGATTGAGATCATTTTAAATACAAAAGAAAAATAGTTTTGTAAAAAGAATAAATAAATAATAATAATCAATAAAACTTCATGCATTATCTTATTGTGTGTTTGGATGAATAATTTTATAAATTTTAAAATTTTGAATCATTGTAATTTCAAATCTCATCATTCTTTAAGTATTTTGTTTAGATAAATTAATTCAAATTTTAAAAATTTTATATTTTTAGTTTAGATATGATTATTTTATTTCTATCTTAAATAAAATTGATTTTAAATATATGTATATATATATATATAT